AAAGTATAATACCCGTTATTGCCCCTTATCTAGTTGATATATTTAATAACTGTATTGATCAAGGCGTATTTCCGGATTTGATGAAATACAGTAAAGTTATACCTCTTTTTAAATCAGGAAATAGAAGTGAACCTGGAAATTATAGGCCTATATCAATATTACCGGTTCTAAGTAAAATATTTGAGAAAATTATTCTGGAACAATTAATGCCTCATTTCAACCTAAATAAACTTTTGCATAGGAAACAATTTGGTTTTACCAGAGGTAGATCTACTACTGACGCGGGTGTTGCACTTGTAAGGAGTATATTGGAGGCTTGGGAGAGGTCGCAGAATGTTCTTGGAGTGTTCTGTGACTTATCCAAAGCTTTTGATTGCGTTGATCATCACACGCTGTTATTGAAATTAAGTCATTATGGAGTCAAAGGTACTGCATATAAATTAATACAGTCGTATCTCAGTTCCAGAATTCAAACTGTAGAGGTAAATGGTGTTAGATCATCTGGATCTCATGTGGAAATGGGCGTTCCCCAGGGTTCAATTTTGGGTCCCTTTCTGTTTCTAGTATATATAAATGATTTGCCATTTTTTGTAGAAAAATTGTGTGAGATAGTATTATTTGCTGATGACACATCTTTATTATTTAACGTTGACAGGCGCAAGAACAACTATGACGATGTTAATAATGCTCTCTCGCAAGTTTTGCAATGGTTTAATGTTAATAATCTAAAGCTAAATGCTAATAAAACCAAGTGTATTAAATTTTCTTTACCTAATGTAAAAGTCGAACATATTGAAATTAAATTAAATAATAATAAATTAGATTTAGTAGACTCAACTACATTCTTGGGTATAACTATAGACTCAAAACTGCAATGGAATCATCACATTACGCTTTTGGCTGGTAAACTTAGTTCAGCAGCTTATGCCATAAGAAAGATAAGACAACTTACTGATACAGAAACTGCCAGGACTGTATATTTTAGTTACTTTCATAGTATCTTATCATACGGCATTATACTCTGGGGAACAGCAGCTGATATTGAAAGTATATTCATTCTACAAAAAAGAGCTGTGAGATCTATTTATCAATTGAGTAGCCGAACATCTCTTAGAGAAAAATTTAAAGAAATCGGCATTTTGACTGTTGCTTCTCAATTCATTTACAATTGTATACTCCTCGTTAAAAATAATATCAATTTGTATACCAAAAACAGTAACGTGCATAATTTTAACACAAGGAATAGAAATAAGCTTGCATTGCCACCCTACAGGTTACAGAAGGTTTACCGATCTTTTATGGGTCAAGGTATACATTTTTATAATAAAATTCCTGATGCCATTCTTGAGTTACCCATAAATGAGTTCAAGTGTCACATTAAAAATTGTTTACTTAAGAAAGGCTATTATACTATTAAAGAATACTTAAATGACAAAACTGCATGGCTGTAACTGTAAATTTGTTTTGTATTTGTTTGCAGTGTCGTACAGATAAATTACCTGAATTCTAAGTAACTATTTTGCTTGGTTTGAGTGGTTATGGGTAGTCATGCTCTCTTAAAAATCTCTTCGGCGGTGTCGTGTGAGGCGGGTCGTTGCGTTCCCTACAATATGGTTGAGCGAAACGATGGCTGGTTCATGCGTCATGCTCGTGAACGGGTGCTGCCAGCGGAGATGAGTCTGCTCTATACTACTTTATTATTATTATAATGATAATTAATTATTTAAGTTAAATTTTATTTGTAATTGTATTTATACTGTGTGGCACGGCAATCAGAAACAAAAAAATTAGGTGAACATTTATTATTTCTGAGATAAAGATTTAATGGTGGTGTGGATTCTGGCATGGTTCTCTAGACCTGAACTTTGGTTTTGCAGCGGTGTATCCTTATCATTCTCTATACAGAGTGAAGGGGGGGCACTGATGTTGGGTTTGGTTTTGGGTTTGGAGGGTAGTGGCAGAGTCGACACTAGTGTTTAGGTAACCACATGCATGTGTCCTACAGTTGTGTTTATAGTTTTTTATAGTAATGTACACTGGTACTTAATTTTTTTTTTCCCTATTTTGCTATCTAGTATCCATATGTGGTTATGGGTAGTCATACTCTCTTAAAAATCTCTTCGGCGGCGTCGTGTGAGGCGGGTCGTTACGTTCCCTAAAAAATGGTTGAGCGAAGCGATGGCTGGTTCATGCGTCATGCTCGTGAACGGGTGCTGCCAGCGGAGATGAGTCTGCTCTTGCTACATTGGGTACTATTAATCGTTGTATTTAACTTTAATGGTACATTTGTTTTTATGCCTAAACAGTGGGACACGGCATTCCTGAACTTTTTTTCATTTTTAAATCTGTTTTTTATATTTTTTATTTTATAGTCATAATTGTTTTATCATTTACATTTGTAATGGAAAGTGACTTCATGGGTTATCTCATATTGAACTCATTTTTCAAATTGACGACTCAGTATATAATACAGGGAGAAAAAAACAGCCCTTGCTGAGTTTCTTGCCGGTTCTTCTCAGTACAACGTCTCCCGCCGTAAATTTGCGAACCGATGGCGCAGCTTTTCGACATTCACAAGTGCTTGTAACAGCCTAGACTGAATAAATGATATTGAATTTTGAATTTTTTTTTTAAGTCACCCAGGTGCAAGGGCTTCGGTCAAGTTGGTCAGTGATCGCTTCATATGGCCTGGTATCCGACGCGACTGCAAGGAGTGGGCACGTGCCTGCTTAGCTTGCCAGAAATCCAAGGTCACACGGCATGTCTCGTCACCTGTTGGCAGTTACAGTTTACCATCCGCCAGGTTCAAGCACATACACATAGACCTGGTTGGACCACTGCCAATTTCCCAAGGGTTCAGATACTGTCTCACAGCCGTTGATCGTTTCACACGATGGCCTGAGGCAATACCCTTACAGGACATTACAGCAGAGACGGTCGCGAAAGCACTGCTCAGCGGATGGATTTCCCGGTTTGGTTGCCCCACGAAAACTGTCACTGATCGTGGTAGGCAATTTGAGTCAGCACTCTTTAAGTGCTTATCAGATATTGCTGGATTTCAGCACCGACGAACCACTGCCTATCATCCGTCATGCAACGGACTAGTGGAAAGGTTCCATAGGCAACTGAAAGCTGCCATAACCTGCCACTCTAGCAGCAATTGGGTCGAGGCTCTTCCCCTGGTTTTGTTGGGTGTTCGCAGCACCTACAAAGAAGACCTGAAATCATCTTCCGCTGAATTGGTTTATGGTGAACCATTGCGCCTACCAGGAGATTTTTTACAACCAGATGCGGAAAGTACTGTAGATATGTCGGATTATGTGGCACGTCTTCACTTGTTCACAAGACAGCTGCAACCATCCCCAGCTTCACGTCATGGTTCCCAGAAGTCTCCTTTCATCTTCAAAGATTTAGCCACGGCTTCTCACGTCTTCCTTCGTGATGACGCAGGGGCCGGCTGCCTCAAACCAGCGTACACAGGACCACATGAGGTACTAGAACGAGGCGATAAGGTGTTTAAACTCGCAGTCAATGGTAAGCTGGTCACCGTGTCAATCGACCGAGTAAAACCCGCATACATACTGCGCGATCCAGACACTACAACTCTTACACCTCATCTTACACAAACACCACATTCGCACTCACCCACACTTAACACTACACATAACAACTTACCTGATTCGGTAGATACTTCAGTCAAAACTACCCGTTCTGGTCGTAGGGTTAATTTTCCGGACTATTATCGCCCGTAGGACGGTCTCTGGAGGGGTGGTGTAGTGTACCTACTTATTACAAATTGTTATTTTCTATAATTTATTACATGTTTCTATATAATTTATGTTAAAAGTAAAAATTAAAACACTTATTATAAAATACATGTAACAGGGTCTTTAATAATTATGTAATTCAAATTTAATGTGAAAATGTAATGTGTAAAATTGTTAATTATAAAATATATATTTTGGTAGACAAGCGGACAGACATATTTGCATGCGCATAGATATCCTTCTGCGCGGACGCAGGCAGCGGCCGCTTGAATGTAACCGGTCTCAGTGGGCGGGGCCTCCGCACCACTTGTTCCTGCGCGGCCGCGGCAGTCGGATCTTAGCCTCTGTTTTGTATGCTTGTCGCTTGTTCTCTCACTGTACCTAACGATCTCGACATCCGCTTGTTTAACGTTAAGCTAATACTTAGTTATTGCGCTGTATTTTATCTCCGTGCTAACTCATTGTGCACCTTCTACAACTGCATCAAGTGCTTATATATATTTATTAGGATCATATTGTGTAAACAATAAATCGTGAGTACTGTGAACATTGTTGCACTCATTTTACAACACCCGAGAAACTCACGCATCATCCTATACTTACAACAAGAAATAAATGTAATTTCATATTTCACTTGTTTACAATCATTATCACTGGCTTGTTTGGGTTTGCCGTTTTACTCTGACATTATCTTACCCAGCAAATGAGTAACAGAATTCATTTGCAGAGATTTGATTCGGCAAAGTATTTTGGTTTTGTCTGTGTGTGTGTGTGTGTGTGTGTCGCGTTAGTATTGAAGTTTAGTGCTATGAGTTTGGAACCATGTTTTAGCGGCCCTGTTAGCGTTAAGCTTCCATAACATTTCTTATTCGTTCGCTATGACGTACCTTGATGATCCAGTCCTCTACTACCATGATCTACTCCAGTATGAGGAAGAGCACGGGCAGCAGCTCGGCGCCGAACACGTTGACGCGCACATCGAGGGCGGCGGCGCTGCACTTGCGCAGGTTCCAGTCTGGCAGCGAGCTGTCGTCCGCGTCCGCTACCACACGTGACGTACCTTGATGATCCAGTCCTCGTGGAACAGCGTCTCCTTGAGTATGGGGAAGAGCACGGGCAGCAGCTCGGCCCCGAACACGTTGACGCGCACATCGAGGGCGGCGGCGTTGCACTTGCGCAGGTTCCAGTCTGGCAGCGAGCCGTCGTCCGCGTCCGCTACCACACGTGACGTACCTTGATGATCCAGTCCTCGTGGAACAGCGTCTCCTTGAGTATGGGGAAGAGCACGGGCAGCAGGTCGGCGCCGAACACGTTGGCGAGCACGTCGAGGGCGGCGGCGCTGCACTTGCGCAGGTTCCAGTCTGACAGCGAGCCGTCGTCCGCGTCCGCGCCGCCGTCGTCCTCGTCGTCGGACTCGCCGCCGCCTGACATGTTGCTGTCGCCCGCACCCGCTACGACGACACATTTATATCATCATCAGCCTACTAATGTCCCCACAGCTGGGGGAAAGGCCTTCTCTTTAGTTGGAATGGGGAGATTGGGTCATGACCCAACACGCGGGACCAGTGAGGATTGGTGTATGCTAACGACTGCAGATGTAGTCGGGACCAACGGCATAACGTGCCTTCCGAAGCAGTGTGGAGCTCGAAATAGTAAAGTTTTGCCTACCCTTCCAGTGACCGACCACTGCGAAAATTGCTCAACTTCAACGATCGTAACCGAACGCGCTAACTGTTTGCGCCATCGAGCTGTTCATTCATTCATATAACTCGTCTAGTATATGACGTTAGACATTCTGTCCCTCTCGCAAATGCTATCCTAAGTAACGTGCGAGAGAGACTGAAGAATGCCTTGCGCTGGCATTTTCGATTCCTTTCTTTAATGACACGAGTTACACTAATATTATAAATACGAAAGTGATTTTGCCCGTCTGCCTGTTACATATTCACGTTTAAATCACGCAATGCATTGAGATAAAATTTGGTGTAGAGGTAGTTTGAGACCCAGGAAAAAACATATAATAGTTTTTATTCCAGAAATCATCCTCAAAAAAGGGTGAAACGGGTGGGGTTTGGTGCACGCACACAAAGTCAGTGGCACCCATTACATTTTTTATTCTTATCTAGGTAGCCGCTTTGCGAGTAAGTTTAATTCATGAACAAATGACAACGGCTAAAAATCAACAGAGGTATTACCATTATGTTTGATGGTGTGCTGACGTGGTTTGTGGAAGCGAGGCCGTATGTCCGTCTCGCGGTCGGGCTCCGCGTCGTCGGCGTCATCGTCTCGATCGCCTCGCAGCAGAATCACGGCCATCTCCGAGTACCGCATGCCACGCACCAACACCGGCAGTAACGCCGGAAGCCGTGGCCCTAGTACCTGAACAAGGGTTCATTAAATCTATACTCTATTCAACTTCGTCTGTAACAAAAGAGATACAAATAAACTAATGTTTCTTAAACTTTTTTATCTAGAGTAAAGATGGCCAGTGCAGCAGTGTAACCAGACTGATTACAAAATTTGACATTTCAACATAAATAATTTGCTTTATACTTACTCTTCAATCTAGTAGTGTTATAATGCGTACAAAGTTTGGAAATAGCTAAAGTTCAATGGCTCAATTACACTTGGTTGTTAGCTCATATTCGGGTGAACGAAAGACATTACTGGATTCAGGTACCCAAAGCAACGTTTGCACTGTTAATACAAGTGTACTCGACTCCGTTCATTAACACTCAGTTGTTTATCTGAATTCTATTGGCACTCGTATTCGGGCTAACGACCAAGTGTAATCGCGCCAATGTCCCTTTTTTTTATTATGATTTTATATACCCCTTTATGGTTTGTTTAACTTTTTGTCTCAGAGGAAGTTGAATAGAGAGAGCCGCCCCGCCCCGCCTTTTTAAAAAAATGACAAGTAACAAGGTATCCCAAAGTATCACGTTATCGAAATATTTGGAGGTAAAGAATAAAGATCAAATTATGAGTACAACGACAATCATTAAAAATAGACTCATTACGTGTCTATAGGCGTCAGTTTAAAACCAAATAATCGTCCCCAGGTTCATTATTATTATCACTGTTTATACTACTCCTACTACTAGTCTTACCTAATTTGGAATTGTGGCTTATAATTATAATCCTTGGCTCACAAGAGCTGAAAACATTCTCGACAACACACCACATTTATTTCGTTTACATGTTGCTGGATATTAGATTACAAGGCAGCAAAAAAATCATTGGACATACATGACTGCAGCTGCAGTCGTGCATGTGCAGGGAATGCAGACCCTCCGATGCTGTGCCCATGTCATGTGCATTATTTGTTATACATAATTTGGGCTCCTCATCAAGAAACCCCTATCCGAACTGCAGAGTCATTATGTAATTTTATTAGGCTGATGCAGACGATGATGATTAATCTTGTATTAGATATATTTACGTATTCTGATTGATTTATCAAATGAAGGTACTTGTTTTATTGTGATTTTGGCAAAATAACCTCAATATTTGCATTATATATAATACATATGTTTGATCCACCCTTTTCCAATAAACAGTAATAATAATAATTAACCTGAGAAAGATTATTTGGTTACAATCTGACGCTTATAGACCCGTCTCTCAAATATCTCGGTAACGTAACACTTTGGGGTACCATGCTACCTGACATTTTTGTTTGTCCATGTGTCCTCGAGCCATACATAAAAATTTCACCATTAGCTGCGATTTCGAAAAAAAATGGGGCGGGCCGGCACGGTCGATAGGCCAGCTTCCATACAAAAAAGTTTGAACCCCTTTGAATTAGTTCTATCGTAACGAATTATTGAGCAGCGTCACGATAGACGCTAAAACGATAGCTTGACTCGCGGTTTTTGACACACATCCAGTGGTTGTGGGAGTCATCATGGGATCAAAAAATAATGGACACTATTTTTTCTTCTGTCAATCAACGAAAAAATTACAAAGATAAACAACGGCAAAGCTTTGGAAGTGGGGCTCATGACGTCACTTTTAAGTAATAATTGTACCAAGGCATGACATCATGCGACATTTTAATTCAATATATCTCTGTAATGTTTTGATTAAGTGAATATAGAAAAAATACGCGTGTAATACTTTTTGACAATCTGCCTGACAGATGAATAAAAAAATAGCCATCATCCCCCTCTGTGTTCCACACATTGTATCCATCTTTATCAATTATTTATTTAAAGTCACATAGAGATAGAATAAGACTTATTAGCATATTATATATTAGCCAACATGATCATATTAGCTTGTAAATTTTATTTAAGAACTCTGGTGTAAGTGGGCCTAAATGAGATATTGTGAAAGAACAACCATGTAGTTGCTTCCAACTTGATATTGGCAGAATTTGTGGCACATAAATCAGCTATGATCGACCTCTCTTGTCCTACCTTATATAGCTTTTTCATGTTCAATCAACAAAATAGATTTTCTTTAACTTTTTAAAGTCAATGAGAAAGCCATATATATTAAGATAAACTATCCATTAAAATATTTAAAGTAATTGTTGATATCCTAAACTCATTAATGCTTGTGATCAATCATCACATCTTACCTCTCTGCAAATGTTTTGCTCTGCTAGAGAAAGCCAGAACTCGCATGCTTCCAATGCTGCCCCTTCTTCAGGATCTTGTGTGCGTACCAGCATATACTAAAAAAGAAATCACAAGTCATAACAAAATTATATGAAAAAAAGATTCATCCATTGTGAATTTCAGTATACATACTTCAATTATGTTAGGTAAATGTGGTATAAGTCTGTCTAGTCTGACTTCCAGCAATAATACAAGAGCATGACAAACATTTTTTCGAACATCTGGATCTTCATCAGCTGCTAGGTGGAATAAATTCTAAAAATAGATAATCACTTTAATTATCAGTATGATGTTTACTATAATGAATACCGCAAGTTTATTTCAATTTATAGTATACCTCAATGAAAGCATCAATATGCACCATGAGTGCTTGTGTACGACCCATAATAAAGTAATTAACACAAGCTATAGCATGACATCTTATTTTCGGAGAGGAATGCCTAAAGAACTGTAGAAATTTAGGGATTAAAACATTTAATGGTCTATTTAAAGCATCACTGTCCAATAATTCAGCAGTATCTTCACAAATTTTTTGCAATGCTCCAAATGCTCCCTGTGGAAAACAAAAAAATATATAAATATATATAATCAATAATATTAAAACATGTTATTTAATAATCATGATATTAAAAAAGAGATTTCGTTTTACAACCAATGAACGAGACTGCTGAAGAGGGGTCAGGCAAGCATAACCCCCTGCCTGTTCCAGACTACAGAAATCTTTGTTTTGAAAATATGAATTCTTGTAAAAATTATCATGTTTGGATACTGGGAAGGATTTTGTTGCTGTTGCTGAATGTTGCATGTAATGATAGATACACCTATTCACTAAATAATACTTATAATTTTTTATCTTTTCAGTCCAAACAAAATACAGAACATATCAAAATAAATACAAATAAAAATATAATGTACCATCATTATTTAACATTCTTGATGTTTCTAAAATTATTATCTGCACAAAGCAGCAAATCAAAGAATCTCTAAGATAAATCAGTTGTTTTTTTTATAAATATTATGTCTTACCTCGCAAACATTGTAATCTTGTGAATCTAACATTTGACACAAGGCTGGAAGAAGTTCAGGCCATGAGGTCAATTCTCCTTTACTAGCAATTGTTGTAATAATAATGCCAACAGTGGCTCGAATCAGAGGAGATGGATCTCCAACAGCGGATAAACATTCGCGTTTTATAAATTCAGCCACTTCTGGTAAAAAGCTGTCATAGTGGGCTTTTACATTATTTTTCAAAATCAGCCCACTAAGAGACCTTGTGGGTTCTTCTTCAGTTACCAATTTGGTAAGAACGAATATCAAGTAGTTGTTAAAATCAGGATACTTGTTCAACTCCTCCAGTTTCTGATAATAATTGTTAGGAATTTATCGACGAGGTTGTCAATAAGTGTCATGTCGGAAAAATCGATTTTATCTCAAGCGTCAGGCTGTGACGCTAAGCTATTTTATAAATTTAAAGTTATTAATAAATAAGTAAATATGAAAGTAGTAGTATAAAGCAAATGAAACGTTAAATGGTTAAGTACGAAAATCCACGCCGATAAAACATCGTCAAAAAATTGTGAAAAGGATACTTGTTGAACGGCTCTTTGAGTTGCTGTGTCTGGAGACTGAGACTCCTTGAGAAGTGTTAATATTTGTCTTAATCCCTCTTGTTCTGGTTTCCACTCCATTTTCATAATAATTACACAAAACGGTTTTATTTCACTCGGTCCCGTAAAGATCAACCATGCCAAAAATTTATTTTATATGTTGCCATACGTTAAAAAATATTCAAAGCGCGCTTGATTGATTATAAGTGCCTGCATACACTGCTACAAAAAGCCGTGTGTGTGCAAGTCTATGGTGTGGTGTAGTGCCCACCTTAAGCTAGAAACAAATTAACGTGTCGTGTTGTGTTATGACGCGCCAACACCACATCGGTTTCATACATTTACTATGGTTAGAGCTTCAGTTAGAGACATATTTACGTATCGTGTCCTGTCGACTCTCTTATCTCTCTCTCTCTCTCTCTCTCTAACCATAATTTATGTATGAAACCGATGCGTCAGGACACGCCACGACATGTAAAAGCCCTGTGCATATCAACGTGTCGTGGCGCAACAGAAGTACATTGGTTTCATACATATACTATGGTTACCAACGATATTAAACGCCCTATAGCCTATTCACGGGAGACAAAAAGTAAACAAAGAATCTGAGGTTCTAAAACTTTATAATGTTTAAAAGTACCCACTAGTCAATGATTACGTATAATTAATGTTACCTATAATTTATTAACAATTTTAAACTGAACAGAAAAAAAATAACAACAGACAACAAATAAAACAAGGAAATAAATAGAATTCAACAAATATGATAGAATATGTAGGCTCGCGTCAACAGGTTGATCGGGAGAGTTAAGATGGCTAACGCAAAACACAACAATTCAACGTAAAATACTTATATCATGTCTACTCTTAAAAATAAATTTAACAGTGTTTCCTTTTCATTCTGTAAAGACAGAGACAAGGATACACTGGTGCCGATTCTAGCGTGATTCTCTAAACTTATAACTAAATTTAACATCAGTCTCTCCTTTTCATTCTGTATAGAGAATGACAAGGATGCACTGTTGTCAAATTTAAGTTTAGCTTTAGAGAATCATGCCAGAATCGACATCACTGTTGTCAAATTTAAGTTCAGATTTCGAAAATCGTGCCAGAATCGACACCATTGGCCTGAGATAAAATGTAAATAAATCATAAAAACGATACTTTTTAAGGTCACGTTTGACAAAAGTATTTAACGTACATACTCATCATAAATTCATACATTTTCATTTTGCTGATAAAAGTATTTTAACAACTTAAGTTGCATGGAAAAAGACCTAAAAACACAATCATTCCCAAACTTAAGACGTATTATAATACGACAAAATTTAAGTTTAGAGAATCACGCCAGTATCGACACCACTATGAATGGACTATATATACACCAACTCGAACAAAATCATGCCCGAAACCTTTCCAAAAAGTACATTTGATGATCCACGGCGCCGGCGCTCCGTATCGAAAGTCACCTTTAATGGCTACAGTGGTGTCGATTCTAGCATGATTCTCTAAACTTAAAACTAAATTTATAATAAGGTCTTAATTAAACGCATACATCAGCATTTTCCAGGACTTTTCAAATTCCTAAATAAGGTTTTCTATATTTTAACAATGTCAAATGCTTATTATGCCTACAAGACAGTGACCAAAGACCTCCATATTGTATTTCTCGCTCGGCCTGATTCACAGTAACAGAAGTGTTCATGTGAATCTGTGATGGGTGGTAGATGACATTGATGACAACTGACTGAACTGACAAGCTTAAGGACAAGTAATAAAAAAATATCCTACATTTGTCTTCTCCTATTTCTTCGTGTTTGCATTTGAATTATATTTGGTGTAAACTTTTAGAATTATGGCGCAAACTGCGGGTGTAAAGCCCATGACCATTGCTGGTCGTGTGGCACTCGAAAGAGAGAGATGCCTGGGCATGACGGATGCAGAAAGGGCCTGGCGCAAACAGTGGTTAAAAGATCAAGTTTTGGCAGCAAATGAACCAGTGCATGTTGAAGAATATTGGAGGGAACGCACCAACCCAATACGCCGCTTCTATCGCAAACCTTTGGATACCTTATTCACAAAACTCGCACCTATTTTGGTATGATTACATAACCTGTTTATATTGATGTTACTTCTGTAGTCTGATTTTTCTTCAAGACTAATAAAATAGTGTTTGTGTACGAACCTTGGTATTGTAGTTTGTTCAATATTATTTCATTCATTTCAGGGTAAAGCACGTGCTCAAGACTATAGATATGTTACAGGAAAATTGGGAATTATTGCAGTTGGAATCCTTTGTACACACTACTACTTTAAATATAATGGCAATGTAAGTATTACGAGCTATAATATTATAAAAAAAAATTTAAACAATATTAACTCCTCTTATCTGTTACTAGGATTGGACAAAGAAAGGAGGTTGGAGAGTTATAAAGACTAAACCCATGGTATTGCCTGGACAGCCAGGCTTTCCTTACAAATCGGAACGTTGTGTGGATAGTGATTATGCTGAAAGAGGTTTCAAAAAATCTGTAATCTAACTGGTGCAGTACTAAATGAATAGTTGCAATAGAAATAATAATTTAAACATTTTGAATGAAATGTTATGATATAATTTTTAATAAAGAAATTGTTTTTCAATAACAAATTATTTTTATTGTTGTTAGTACTTTATTATCTAGCAATATTTGTACAACCAATAAAAGAAGTACTTTTATACAAAGTCTATGCAAAATGGATTCCTTCTGCATTAAAAGCATGCAATAATTTCATGAAATCATCTATATCCATTGTCCTAGCTCTCATTTGATCAGCTTCTGTATTTGCTAATATTTCTTGAACTTTTAACTTTATGTCAAAGTCTTCTGGTATATCCTGTAAACAAACAGTCAGTGGTTCAATATGTCCGTCAATGTCATGACACTCTATTTTTGGACAGTTGTATAAAAAGGAGTTCAATGTTTTCAGGGTATTTTACTATAACATATAGGCACAATGTTATAAAGTCTATGTCTGCAAAACCTTAATGCTTGGCACTAAAATGCATAAAATAATTAAAAATTATAACTGACCAGCCCAAAACTGGTTAGATTAGTTGTTCTGCAAAACAGGCCCTGCCAGCAATGACTTTTCTATTACATTTTAGTTCATTTGATTAAGTGGGGCAGTTGATTATTATATTTTTTTTGTCATTGTAAAAGAAAAACTGGTATAACAACAAAGATTATACATACTTTATTGTGAAGAGAACAATGAACTCTGTAGTTCTTGTCTAAAACTGCCATAGTAGTAGCATGCTTAAATGCAGCTGATAATGTTTTGTTTTTTCTTACAAATGCTATCCTTGTCAAACCATCCCATTCAACAAAGTTTATAGGGGGTGGTGGGTTTCTTGGTTCTATCCTTACTACACTAGACTCTACTTTCGGTGGAGGCCTAAAATTATTTTTCCCAACCTGAAAATATAACATTTTATAACTAATATTGTTTAAGATTATTCAAGGGAGGCAAATTGTACACTATGACATAGTCAAATACTCACCTTCATTAACATATCAACACGTGCTAGCAATTGAGTATTAATAGATAATCTGCAATATAACTTATCACCAGGTTTGGCTACTAATCTCTGTGCAAATTCTTGTTGAAACATAAGTATTGCACATCTAAAAAAAGGTCGATGCAGAAGTAATTTGAAAACTAATGGTGAGCTGATTTGATAAGGGATATTGGCAACGCAGATATCAAAAAAGGGCAATTCTGTTTTAAGTACATCTCCAACAAGAATTTGTAATTTTGCTTGATATGGAGTTCCTTGCACACGCTTCTGTAGTTCAGCTACTAATCTAAAAAGATACAATTATCTGATATTACTGCACTCCTTAGAAATTTACAATATCATAAGTTAATATTCCTTACCTTGTATCTATCTCACATGCCACAACTTTTTTTACTCTGTCAAGTAATTTGACAGTCATATTTCCTGTACCTGGCCCAATTTCTAGAGCTATATCAGTTGGCCTTAATCCAGCTTTGTCTAACATAGATGTTATTATAAGAGGGTTTTTCAAAATATGTTGGCCGAAATCCTTATTAAACTGGATCCCTAAAATGTAACATATTAATTGTATTTATTTATTTAAAACTTTTAACAAGTATTGTTTCCATAAAACAAAAAAACTACGCCCTTACCCTGTTTAGCAACTTCATTGTGAATCCTTGATTTCTTTTCCGTTTTTACTTTAGGCATTTTATTTTAAAATACGATATCTAGTTCTTACCAAGCAAAAAACTCAAGGATAGTGACATGTGTACAAAATGACAAAAATAAATATCGCTAAATAACCTCCAATAAACTTTTCTTTTTTTTTTTTGTTGAAGTTCTCCCGTTTTAGGGAAGGCAAAGGGAACAATGCCCATACAGCCTGATCTTTAATTAAATTAATCTTCTTTTTGTTTTTACATTAGAATGTCGGTGTGACGCATTCTAATGTTTCTTGGAGTGTTTGGCACGAAATGTATCGAGTTGGCTTTTTCGATAAGCTTCTGTGAGGTAGTCAACACTACAATAAAATTCTCACGTCCACTTGACCGGAATAGCGTATATTTTAACGATTCCACTAATTCTTCAGTTACGCAGACAGTTTTTACACAAAACAACACCAATTTTATTTCACAATATCCACTATGAACGAATTTAAGAATAATTAAAATAAGACGCCAACCACACTCAATGAAATCCCGCCAAAAACTCTAACTTTTTTTATGTACAATGTTACATCCCTACCTATGTCAAATACGCATTTTTTTAAAATATATTCACCCTTTTAAGTAGGCGAAGGCGTTGCCATACAGCCTTGTTTTCAGACAGACAACTGACAGAGGCGAAGCACCCACAGATTATTGTACGGCTACATTCCAAATATCAGATTACGTATAAACTTTTAAATTTTAATTATTTAATTTTGAATTATTCAAATTGCTGTCAAATATTATGATAATCCTAGTTTGTAAAAAGTATGAATGAAAGACAATCTTTAAGAATACCTCTAACAAACTAATAATCTAGCTACACATATAAATACAAATGCAAGCAACGACATTTGGCAAAACAGCAACATAACAGACAACAGTTTACTACAACAGTTGTTAGAAAATAACACTTCATTGTTATTCGTTATTGTAAAACAGCCGTTATTACCATCACTACGCACGACATAACACGACATACAAATAAATCCGGCTTTACTTCCTGTATAAACGGATAAGGCCCCTGTGTATTACTTTCCTCTGCTTTCCTCTATGAGAAGGTAAATGTATGACCAGTTACAGTACATTTTTTGAATTCCCATAATGTTTCGTAAGCATTCCAGATAGAATATTATATAATATTGGGCCCAATTCTGGCGTGCCAACTTATATCTAAAACTTACTAAAATAAGATATAGAGTTGTCAAATTCAATAGGCTAGTTGACTCATGTCGAATTGTATTAAATAAATGTTTATTTCTTACAGTATTTGGTCTAAGGAACCTAAATATATCGATTTCACTTCATAAAAGCAGAAGATTGCTGTAGAAATTTAATTTAAAAAAATATTTTTTAGTCTATATTTTTTAAACACTAAAAACGCTGTTCGCCACATCCGCCATGATTTTGACGTCTCTTTCAGTAAACAACTAAATGTCATTCACGTGTTATTGTGGGTGGATTCTTTAGTCTGAATAAATTTATCTTAAAACCCTTTTAACTTTAGATAAGTTTCCGTTTACTGTTTTTTTTAACAAAACTAATTGTGGATGCCGGCTTTGTGAAAGCACAAATCTGCCAAGAATTGACGCATTGGTGGTTGGTGAATTTTTTGCACTAAACCCCGATTACTGCTCTGCGGAGCAGAGAAACGACAAGGCATCTATGTAAGTACAGTGCATTTAGTATTACAATGTAGTAATAAACATAAAACTGATACAACATATGAATAAGTGTAATAAAGTTGCGTAGGTTAATTTCTTTCGGCACTTTCATCCACAACATTCCTGGCGTCTTCAAGGATGTGTTTTTATATTCTCGTACAATACAATAATGATAATTACTTTATTTTTCGTGGTATTTATTAGAAATCATGTTCTTTTTATTATAAACTCAGTTATTTTCTACGTGCTTACGAGTTTTTGTTTACTACAGTTGACATCATAGCATAGACAATCTATAGACTAAAATGGCCGACAGCGTTTTTGTATGTCCATGAAAATTCTATTTTAAAATTAAAGATTTGTAGCTTTCTAGGTCTCAAAAAAATACAATACATTTTTTTTCGTTCTAATAGAACATTTATTAACCATTTAAAACCTTTTTCCAAAAAGGGTCAACTAGCCTATTGACGTCGCTAAGTTATTCAACTTAGATTTAGATGATTAAATGCTATTCTGAAACGCGTTCTAAATGTCATATTTTCTCTAAAATTAGAAATGTCACACTAAATTTCAGAAGGACCTACGGAGGTCCTCTCTAAATTTAAATGTGAATAATTGGGGCCAAATTATTAGGTAAATGATTGCTGTACTTAAGTTTTGAACTTGTTGTTAAGGTTGGATATGGGTTTATTTCGTTAAAAAAAGTCATACATTTTATACAATAATGAACGACGACGGTGATAATAATACATTAGCTAGATCTTTTGTTTTTTTAAAAAAAGGTAGGTAAGTCTATGTAACGATACGGATTTATTATAAGCCTAAATGGCCTAAATAATGTGTCATGAGCCACCACGCGGGCCTAATGCGGCTTAGTGGGGGCTAACGACTGCGGATACAGCGAGCAGCAACATAGGAACTCGATATAATACATTTTTGGTTGGTCACCCATCCTAAGATCGGCCATTGTAAAAGTTGCTTAACGTTCACGATCGCAGAACGAACGCGTTATACTTGCGCTTTTGTGGTACTTGGTAGGTAATGTATACGTATATTTTGTATAAAAAAATAAATGATTTAAGGTAAAATCTTTTTTAACATAAATAAAATCCAATCAAATAACGAAACACGAAATAACTACTGTTTGCAATTGAGAAGTTGGTTTTTATATATCCGAAAGTGCTTGGCATCTTCACCAAATGAATAATTGGGATTTGGGACGATCTCGCCAAAAACTGATAGAAACAAAAAAAGATAAAAATAGGTTACGCATCTCGGATTATACGATAAATGAGATCAAAATCTTCACAAAATAGCCGGGGGTATAATTACAACCTCTTACCGAAACTGAAATTATTAACCTAGGTAATTAGATAGATGCGCTGGATTGAGAATTTACGATGCAAGAAATTTTCAAGGATGATTCTCGTTAGACCGTGTCGGTCGTAGCAGCCTTCCCTATGAATGGAATAGGGAGATTGGGCCATGATGCACCACGCGGGCCCAGTGCGAATTGTCGAAGGCTAACGACTGCAGATGCAGCCGGAGGAACTCGAGATAGAAGAATTTTGGTCACCCATCAAATGACTGACCACGGCGAAAGTTGCTTAATTTCAACACGCTAACCACCTGCGCTATCGAACTCATATAGTTAAGTAATATTAAACAACATATTTTACATGGATTATGGACACATTCACGCTGTTCCGGGCGGTAACCAACTGACAACCGAGCAACAAATGAAACAACGCTCGGAAAAAACTTGGTCCCGCGTCGGCTCGGCCACGGCTCGCTGCATGAATACAGCGCTAGCGCAGTGCCGCCGGGCAATCGAAGCGATACCTCAGACAAAACAAAATTTGCTCGAACGAGTACACTTACCCTATTTACTTTATATGAATGAATAAACTGCATCACGGCACAACAACAGTACGGTCGAGGCACGTCTTTGTAAATTACAGGTACGGGATTGGCTCGGTGACTGTCCTACGGCTGAAGTTCGGCTCGGACTCGATCGTCTCTGATCATCCTTAATAGATTTGTTCGGTACCAAAATGTAGTTAGTGTCTATATTTTACCAAAAAAAAATACTTAGGCATGCTCTAAGAAAAAATATGTTTCCTAAAGTTCTCCCCGCAGATTTAATTTCTCCAAGTTCATATTTTTCCCCAAAATAAGGATAAACACTCCCATTATTAAGTTCCTTGGAGAAGGCAAAAAAAACTTCCTGTCAGTGTCACTGTTACTGTCATTCCACCTATAGCCGACATTTTTAATTTTAATAAATCATTTACGCGGTTTTGAGTGCAATATTTTTGTAAGTTTCCTGTTAATTATAGAACTGTGCTCTACATTGAAATCATCATTTTTGTATTCTTTATTAATTTCAGTGCGTGGAAAGATGCCTAGATACCATAAGGTAGAAATCAACAAGACAGAATGGATAGTACCAGAGCGGTATCAAATGTTAACACCTGTAGGATCAGGAGCTTATGGTCAAGTTTGGTACGATTAATTTGATTTAATGAAAAGCTTAGGCAACATGCCAATCTTATTTATATACTGTTTCGATTGATTGCCCTCATAGTAACATATTACGCGGTACATTGCCCTTGCGTAGGCGGAACTGGTTTTCAATAATGGCTAATGTAATGAAAGCGTTTTTGTTGTAGTTCAGCGATCGACAGTTTGCATAATATGAAGGTAGCCATAAAAAAATTGGCCAGGCCTTTTCAATCTGCTGTTCATGCTAAAAGGACATACCGTGAACTACGTATGCTTAAACATATGAACCATGAGAATGTCATTGGTGAGTTATACAAAATAAATTATAACTATGTTATGTAAACAAAAGTTTGATAAATAACAAGTGAAACAAATCTTAATAATTTTTTGATGATGTATAAAGATTAATAACGAAAGCTGTATTACATTTTATGTTGGAATTCACACAGGATTGCTAGATGTATTTAGCCCAGAAAAAACACTAGAAGAGTTTCAACAAGTATACTTGGTTACTCATTTGATGGGAGCTGATTTGAACAACATTGTTCGTACTCAAAAACTATCAGATGATCACGTACAGTTCCTTGTCTATCAGATATTGAGAGGACTGAAGTATATACATTCTGCAGGAATTATTCATAGAGTATGATATTTTTTATTTGTTCGTTTCAATTCTGATTAATACTCTCAAAAATGTTTCGCAAATATTTTTCTAACTTATGGATATCCAAATTTTCTTATTCTCATTACATTTAAAAAGGGTCATAATTAACTTAAGTTTAAATGAAACATTTGATGAATCATGTTACTTTTGTAGCTTATTATGCAGTGAAGACTCCTTTCTCAGGACTCATCACTATTCAGACTACTGTTCACTTTTAAATATATTTACAGTTTACCTTATAGTTCTTGTTATTAAAGCTGCATCATTACTTCACATTGTAGGTAAGTGCTTTATAGCTTAATATACAGTCAAGATACCTTTGTCAGGTAACACAGCCATTCACTTGTAAATACTTTTACACTTTACCTTCTAATACTTATTATTAAACTGCATCATTACGTCACATTGTAGGTAATTTGTATTAAACATTGCTGTTGCATGTATCAAACATTGAAAAGGAAGAGGAAATGCAATTTTATTATATTATTATTTAAGCCTTGATCTGCTGATATTGAGAACAGTTGAATTTGTTATAGTAAAATTATTTAAATAATTAATATCTGATTTTTGAGTGTGTTATCAGAAATTATTATTATTTTATTGGAATACTATTATCTTCGTTATTATTTCAAAATATGTAACATATAATAACTTGCAGGATTTAAAACCATCAAATATAGCTGTGAATGAAGATTGTGAATTAAAAATCTTAGATTTTGGTTTAGCTCGCCCTACTGAAACAGAAATGACAGGATATGTTGCTACAAGGTATGTATACTTTAGCGACTAATATATTTAAAAACAATTAAATAATTTTCAGGATAATTGAAGAGCATAGATTTCATAAAAATATTAATTTTATTGTTAATAGGTGGTATAGGGCTCCAGAAATTATGTTGAACTGGATGCATTATAATCAAACCGTGGATATTTGGTCAGTGGGGTGCATAATGGCTGAACTTCTAACTGGAAGGACTCTGTTCCCAGGATCAGACCGTATCCTTTTTATTATTTTCTATTGTAGTATACTGCACTTGGTTGTTGTTGTAGATTGCCTTCATTACAATATATATAAAAACAAAATGATCGTAAAATTTCAGTGCTGAACTGCTGATAAAACCTGTTTATTTATATTTCCATTTTTTGATCTAAGGAATGTAATTCAAAATCTTCACCCACATACACATACCAATTGAATGACTTAATTCATTCAAAATGTCCATTATGCATGGCCCAGTATTCAATTGTAGATAGGTACACTTATTTTTTATTGTATGCCTTTCAACCTTAATGGACGAGACAGATATCCATCAATTGAACTTGATCATGGAGGTGCTTGGAACACCAAGTCAAGAGTTTATGCTGAAAATATCCTCGGAGTCTGTAAGTAGACTTTTTAAGGAACTAGGACCCACATAATAATCAATTGGAATATAAGTTTCCAATTTTTGAAAACCCTCATTCATTATTGGCAGTCATAACATAGCTTTGCATTAACTTGCTTTAATTGATGTGGTTTGTCTTGTCGAGATGTGGCTTGTGTAAGTTTGGTGCTTGTTAACCTTAACCTTTGTGCGTCAGATATCGATCATCTCACCAGGATATTGTTTTTGTGTGGAAAACCTGAACAAGAGACTATTGATAAAATAATTAGTGAAGAGGTAAGAGCAGTAACAATTCTGAAAACTATAATTTTCTAAAGATGCTTTAATAATTTTAGTTGAAACGTAAGGTAGCCTACTTATGCATTGGCCCAACTAATTTAGGTATAGTAAAAAATTCACTCAAGTGCAAAACTGTACTGCGTGATATGATGCTGGGGGTCTAAAATAGAGACATAAATAGAAAATGTTTAAAATATAAATCTGAAAAATAAGATAATTCACGATTTTCGTTGGAAATATATTAAAACTTTTTAAAAATGAAACATAAAATTATCAGCGTAAAGTAACATGCAATCTTGTTATTTTAGACCCCCAGTAAAATGTAACTGTACATACATTAATTGCCGTTTTGATTATTTATTGTTATTATTACAATTGTTTTATGTTGCATTATCATCAACAATATGGGAAGGTTCACTTTGAATTATGTGATATGATCTGCAGTGTCTTTGTCTTTGTCAAATGTATGTGCACAGTTGTAAATAGAGGTCTCTGTGCTATTATCATCATGATATTGAAATGGTAAACTGTGAATATTGACGTAGGTAATAAATGCACATATTAATGTATGCACGAATGTTTTATAACAGGCAAGAAATTACATCCAATCTTTGCCGGCGCTAAAACGACGGGATTTCCGCGAGGTCTTCCGAGGTGCCAACCCCCTTGCGGTCAACTTGCTTGAGCTGATGCTTGAACTGGACGCTGACAAGTGAGTGTTTAAAATATAATTACTCAAACGACTTTTATATATCCCTTATGGATTGCCTGGTGAAAAGTACTGATTGCGTCACAAACTTTGCTGTTTAAAGTCTTTCGGACAAGTTACTTTCGGTAGTCATTATAAGTGATAAACAACTTTTTCATCAGATGTCACTCAAAATTTATTTACGATATTTTTCGACTTGTCGCCCATTACAAAGCTGTATTACATTTAATGTGTAGGTACTCTTTAACATCTTCAATATATTTATATTCGCTTGTTCAAGAGTTTTATTATCATTTATATAAGCAGTTAAGATTTATGCTAACAGAGTATGATAATATATATATACTAGCTGACCCAGAGAACTTCGTACCACCATAAAAATAGGGGCAGGTGGTAGAAGAGAAAATTTAGGATTGTATGTATTTTTTAATACCACATTATATAAAATAAATATTGTCCAAAAAAGTTTTAGGGGTGTGTAACGTAGTGTTATATCAATTTCCTGGGATAACATTCCTCCTAACCCATATGGGAACACAACGTTACAATACCCAATAGTTTGAATTTTGGAGCGAAGTCGCATTATAGGTTTCAGAACACAACGTTACAGGTGGACAACCATTATCACTTAAGGATATGAAAAATAGATAGTAGCCGATTCTCAGACCCACGGAATATGCATATAAAATTTAATAAAAATGGGTCAGGCCGTTTCGGAGGAGTATGGTAACTAACATTGTGACACGAGAATTTTATAAGAGATAATACTAGTTGACCCCGCGTACTTCGTACGGGTTAAAATAATTTGGAAGAAATGACGGACCCGAGTCTACCGTACCAAAAGGGACGAACGTCAAATGTTTGACAGGAAAGAAGATAGAACATTTTATATGGGAAAATTAAAATTACGTTTTTACTATCTTCCTTGCAATTTTTCCATATTTTCGCACCTTTTAAACCTTTCCTAGACCTCCACGAACATTAGACCAAGATAAGGTAAATCCGTTCAGCCGTTCTCAAATTTTAGTGAAACTTAAGAACAGCAATTGATTTTTATATAAATAGACTAGCTGACCCATCGAACTTCGTGTCATCTAACAGTCGATCGAATGTGGTTATATCGAGAGTCTACTGTACCGAAGGAACGAACGTCAAATGTTTGACAGGAAAGTACCTAGGTAGAATAGTTTATATGGGAAAACGTAATTGTTGTTTTTACTATTTTCCCCGCAATTTGTCCATATTTTCTCATCGTTTAAACATTCCCTGGACTACGACAATCATTTCAAAGATAAAATCAATTAAATCAGCCCGGCAGTTCTCGAGTTTTAGCGAGGCAAATGAACCACAATTAATTCTTTTATATATAATAAGTGGCCCGCCCTCGCTTCTCTTCGGTGTAGAGCTGTAGGGTAGAATTGGAATTTTTCCACCTTTTAAACCTTCCCTAGACCTCCACGAACATTTCAAAACCCAGATAAGATAGTTCAGTCGTTCTCGAGTTTTAGCGAGACTAACGAACAGCAATTTATATAAAGATATGAAGTTCAGGCTTACCCTCATCGTCTGGAACCGGTACTTAAAATAACCTGTATTTTGTTCAGGCGTATAACGGCGGAGCAGGCGCTTGCGCACGAATACTTAGCGCAATACGCGGACCCCACTGACGAGCCGGACTCTGCGCCCTACGACCAGAGCTTCGAGGACATGGACCTGCCCGTCGACAAGTGGAAGGGTGAGTAGTAACGACCAACTCGCACCTTCAACATCCATACTAATATTAATCTAGCCACTTAGCGCAATACGCTGATAAACCGATGAACCGGACTCCGCACCCTACGACCAGAGCTAATAAGTTTTGGTCACCCATCCAATGACCGACCACTGAGAAAGTAGTTTAACTTCCACGATCGCAGGCCGAACACGCTATATACCTGCGCCATCGAGCTCCTTTATATTAATCTATTTTGATCACAAAGCCTAATTTACAGAATTTCTATGACTGTATATCAAAACAGCAAAAAGTCGGTAGTAATAAGTTTTCGTAAAAATTAAAGATCAGCCTTGCGGCCAATTTGTAGATAAGATATTTAGGTTATGCTTTATTGCTTATAAAAATTTATACTCATCCTGCTACGTCTAAAGAATTTCAGGTGCTTTGATTCATATTCGTTCTATTAAACAAACTATAGGCCTTCTGCTTTGCATGTGATTAGAGTTGAGGCGTTTCGATTCATAGACATTCTGTAATTTATACATTGATTTTTGGCGTTTTGCTTCAGACATTCTGCAAATTAAGATTTTCTATCAAAATAGATATTGATATTGATCAATAGTCTATACATTATGAAGGGGGAGGATTTTATTATATTTGTGTGTATTAGTTTATTACCTGGATTCTGACACATAGGACCCTTGATATCGCGAAAAATTGTTAGGTTTCCGAGGGAATCTCCAACTAATCATAAAACGCGGACGAAGTCGCGGGTGGAAGCTAGTATTGTTATAATTCCGATGTTGGCGTAAGCGGCGGCACTTGCTTTGTAATGCCGGCACTTCACTTGGCTATTCTTATTTGCTATTTGTGAACTTAACAATGGTCTGCCCTAATGATGCTTTCTTTAAAAGGAATGATAACAACAGACTGAAGTCAAGTTTACAAATAGCAAACACGAACAGCCAAGTGCGCGTAAAGAGTTAATGATGTAGGTGGGGGTGGCCAACAACTGAGCGCAGGCGTCGTTAGCAGTTCGTTTGTACACTAGCTTCCACCTGCTCCTTCATCTGAACCCTACAGGAAACTATGATTTTTTCTGAGATAAAAAGATTCTATGTCTTAATTGTCCAGGTAATAAACTAGGTGTGCCAAATTTCATTCAAATCCGATAAGATATTTTACTTTTAACATACTTTAGATCTGAGTAAACAATTAGATATTTCATTTTTTTTGTAGTTTTGATTTTATGACAGTTATTTTTGTTGAAAAAGTTTTTGTAAAATCGAAAAAATATATGTAAAAGAACCTTTATCTTAGTTTTTGAGCCTATTGAATACAAACAATCACATCTATCCTCTTTATAATAATAGATAACCTTCTTTAATCTAATATATAAAATTCTCGTGTCACCGTGTGCGTAATTGAACTACTCTGAAACGGCTCGACCAATGTTCGTGAAATTTTATATGCATATTCAGTAGGTCTGAGAATCGGACAACATCTATTTTTCAGACCCCTTTTTTTTGGATTTTTTTTATGATACAAAAATACATACAACCCATAATTTTCACCCTCCTACCACCAACCCCCAATTTTTTTTATGGCGGTACGAAGTTCGCTGGGACAGCTAGTTTTATATACTACATTAAGTAAAATATTGGTACGTCTTTAATTTACCACCTATACGTATTTTTTTCAGATTTAGTATGGAAGGAAGTGGTGGAGTTCAAACCTCACCCTCAACACATGAATACCGTAGTTGAAGTTAATCCGCAATGATTTTAAATTAATTTTATTTAAGCCACACCTTAAAGTCCAGGAGCTCTACTCTCTTTCTCCGAAACGAAATTTCGGTAACGAACGAATTTCAAACGAAATTTCGCCAGTTTCTCTACTCTATTTCATTTTCGAACAGGCACATTATCTTCGGAACCATAAACAGTTTTCGTGAACGAATGGAATGAGTCATGTTTGTGAGTTCTTTTTATCTCTACTTTTAAAAAAACTTTTTTTTACTTGGAAACAATATAGGTAGTTTACGGCAAATTTTTTTGATGACATTAAAAGAACCTTCTTTGACAGTGTTAGCTGACTAATTTGTAGAGTCGATACAATCTACTGTATGTCAACCTCAATTTGTCGTTTAATACTTTGAAGTATCGAAATTACAAAAAATAATAAAAAAATGGTTTATTTGTTAATTTTACATGCTAAAAATGTTACTCGAGCTAAGCAGCTATTATTAAAAATACTCTTGCAAGTATTTTAGGCTTAATTAAAACAAAAATCTCAAAACGAAAATGAAAAGGTAACACTTTTCATTTCGTCGATTTGAGGTTAAAATTTCGAACAATTATCTGTCAAATTCAACTTTTCCTTCGAAAGTTTTGTGAATTAGAGTAGGCTTGGAGAATTTAATTGTCAAAATATTTCGGACGAACGAATTTTCGAAATGAAAAGGAAACAGAGTAGGGAACGTGCGAAATTTCGATCGAAATTTCGTTTTTCGTTGAAGTAGAGTAGGCCTCCTGTTATCAAGTCAGCACGCTTGTAGTCAACTAGTATAGATCCTACAGCCACTTGTTGTATTTAGTTTACAAAGTACATAAAATGTAATGTAATCTAAGGCTATAGGTTCAAGGTAACGGATCAATTCAACATTGCTGGACAACGTTTTACTATTGATGAAATCAATGTGCTGATTTTTTATAGTCATATGCAGTAAATCCATATATATTTTTAAAATATTGACTCTTGTACAGTATCTTGGTTTACGATAAAGTTTTGTTTATATGGTCTATTGTGGTACCTAATTATGGAATCCGAGGCTTACCATGCCGGTGCTAATAAATTATTTGTGAACATTAGAAATAAGAAACTATTTTTATGATACCAGTAGAACCCGTATAGGAAATAATAACTATGTTTTGATATGGTTAAACAAATTCAACTAAATAGTTTAATACTTGTGCGTTGTGCATAAATTTAATTGCATGGCAGCAATTGATTTAATTCACAGAAAGGTTATCTTCTGATTGAAGAATCTTTATCTCTTCCTGTACGGGCAATATAATGTATTTTTAATCAGATTTTAAAGGATTTTTTGGAATGATCTATGTTTCGCTACTGAACAATATTCACGCATAGTCGGCTTGTGGTATTTAACTTGCTCAGATTTTACCTGTAATATAAATGAATAATGTACTAATTTTATTATTGTAATGATAAGATAGCTATGCACGTAATTAGCTTAATCTTGTCCAAATTTATAGAACGGAAGTACGGACTTTGTCGACAATATAACAGTATGAATTGCGGTTTAAAATTTACAATGCACCGTTACGATTGACTCTACTTGTACTTTTGAATTTGTTGGTCTTGACGTTTCAATATGCTTTGACGAGGTTTGCGGGCTTTCTGATCGCGGAGAACAATGCTTTGAGACATTGGTTAATTAAAGACCTCGCTCTAAGACAGAGACAATATTGCGTGACAGGCTCTTTATCTATAAGGCTGACCTTATCTCTAAATAAATACTGAATTGAAATTCATGGAATTTCATGTAGGTACATTAACCATCTCAGAAATAACATTTAATTTCATTTCTTTCGCTTTCCCTTTCAAAGCTGAAGAAAAGTGTAAATAATGTTTTGACTCATACCCAACTATAAAATTCAAAGTGTTAGGGAATGAAGCAAAAAGTGTCTTTAACCTCTGGTTTAGCACAATTTTTAAATCCGTGTACCTACTAATAATGTGAATTATTCAGATCGTTATCAGAATAATCGTTAGGAGGTAGTGACTGTTACCAAATCGAAATATTTGATAATGTCTTTTTATACATTTGTATGTGCGAAATACATACAATAATATAGTAATTCTAATAATCAGATTATGAATTATTTACGTAGGTACGCTATAAAGTAGTCGTTGGCCGCTCGTCCGTACGAAAAATACCAAACACAATTAAGTAATGTTTCGAATATAAGAAACATACTTATGTAAGGGTTTCTATTTCTTCATAGCTTCATGAGAAAAATAAGGCTATTTGACAGTATGAAAAATAATGAATTACATATTATATTAATATGCATATTAGCAGCGATTTTACTATTCTGAAAGAAATAATTAATAACTTTTCTATAATAAAATCATTACATAGAAATTATTTTTTTGTTCCATTGTAACGTGACCGAAAACGCCTGGGATTGGCAAATATTAAAATGACGTCACACGCTAGTAAACTTCCGGCTAAAGTGACATTACATTGTATCGTTTGGCGTTTTAATGATGACAGTCGTGTGACGTCACACACTAGTGAGACGCCATAATGTCCAGAGAATTGTTTGCGCGGCAATTTGAAAATTGAATTTTTAATTTAGTTTTTTTTACTGAATTACACATAAGAATTATAAATATGAACTCCTTAAACATAAGTAAATAACATGAGATCGTTATCTAAAACTTGTCAAATACCCTTATTGTCAGGCTGGATCTGACAATTGGTCGACAGGTCGAACCATCGCTCAATATCAACATCGAATTCTATTACTATTGATCTATTTCCTTCAATGCAAAGCTGTTGAAAGGGCTATATTTTTAAATTAGTTATTGTGAGAATTATTTTTTGATACGCAGATGTAGCTTCACCATTTATAAATATTTAAATGTGTATAAATCCACTACTTATATAAAACTTGTAGCGTAATAAAGTATAGTATTCTTGTGATCACCGCAATGTTGCTATGAGTGTTGGACCAGTTAAATTGGCTTATTTAAAAGCACTTAAAATACAGTAAATTGTTAAGACTTCTTTAACATAATTTTGTAGTTTCTTGTTATTTAATAATACATTATTAAACAGTCACCCTTGAGTGACCGTGCCGTCAATTTCAATAGTATTATGTCTAATTACCTTTCATACAGTACTTAAATATTATCGACAATTTGTAATAATCACAATCACCAAAGTGACTTAAAACTGTATAAAGCAATAACTGGGTGCAATGCAACATACAGATAATTTAGGAACATAGATGTATTAATTACCTGTATTTTTATGTATTGTTAGGGATTTTAAAGTTTAAGAATGTGAAATACATTGATAATAATTTCATGACTTTTCTTTTTATTTACGATGTCCTTTATACTTACGATAGATAGATACGATAGACGGTTGTGATATGTTCTAACGAGTTGTTGCTTTTGTAACTTTTTGTGTCAGCTTTAGAAGCCCCAGTTGATTAAAGTATGATTTCTGGAATAAAACCTATGCTATAATGTTCTTTCCCGGGCCTCGAATCATCTCTATACCAAATTTCATCTAAATCGGTTCAGCGGTTTAAGTGTGAAGGGGTAACAGATAGACAGTCACAGATTCTACCCATCAACAGCAACAACTTTTATTATGGGACCAACGCTGAAATCGCGAAAAAAAATCGACTGTTTCATACAAAAGTGCATCAGCTAATCGACCAGAATGTATGAAACAGCTGAATATTTTTTTCGCGATTTCAGAGTTGGTCCCAGAATAAAGTTGTTCCTGTTGATGGGTAGAATCACCCCCTAACAGGTTGTTGGTGTTTTAAAATTAACCTTGTATACGAAATTCATATCCATACTATAGGTAGTATATACTTAACTGAGTCCTCGCCTGCGGAGTAAAGAGTTTGGGGGAGGACGAAAACGGGGACCGCGAGAGGTGCGGGCGACAGGCACTTGTAATTTTGACAAGAATGTGCCTGCCGCATCTCTCACGGTCCCCGTTCTCGTTTTCCCCCATACCCTGTACCCCGAAGGCGAGACTCAGTTAAGCGGTTAACCTATCTATACATATAATAAAATGGTAGGAAAGACAAAACTGTACATTGAATATTTTCTTAAAAGAATACTTGGGGTGTGATCTACAATTGATACCGAAGCCAAAAATATAGTTTTTAGAATTTTTGTATGTACGTCCGGGATAAACGAAAAGTACTGCATGGATATACTTCAAATTTGGCACGAATATTATTAAGAAGTCGGGTCAACATATAGGCTACATAAATTTCACGAAACTTCACCCCTAAGGGGGTAATACGGGGGTTGGGAGTTGAAGTAAGAGGCTTGAAAATTAACATGTATGCTCTATAGATAGTGTAGAGGTGTACTAATATTGTATCTTTAGAAATAAACCCCCTTTTGAGGTCAAAAAGTATGTGCAAATAACTAACTGTACGCGTACGAAGTCGCGGGCGGCCGCTAGAAATATTATAATTGCGAAAATGTTCCTGTCTGTGTGTTACCTCTTGAAGCTTAAACTACATAATTCTGAAATCTACATAAAGGCAGAAACAGACTTATGAAACTCGACGCCACGCGTGTTGAGTCAAATCAAAATGTATAAATGCGATTCAACTAAGAATAGGACCGACTGGGTGCCATATTTTGACATCATAGCTGTCAATTCAAACGAAATAGGTAGAGTGAGCAAAAAAAAAAATCTATTTAATAAAACTTCTTACTTAGATTAAGTGAGAAAAAACATCAGATTTTTTAATAAAATTAATTTACTAACATTATGAGAAAAACACTACTGATTTTTAATAATATTTCTTTATTATGACTGCGTGAGAAAAAACATTAATCAGAATCTAGCTCTTCAATTCCGCTCATCTCTGCGTTACCGCCGGAGTAGTTATGAATAATCATGCAGGTCACATACGAACATGTATCCTATATGCAAACGAAAGCTTTAAATCGTCTTTCTAAACGCAACATAAAGTGACATTTGGTTGACGATTTAGGTTATCAACTATACATAGCCAAAGCTCAATAAATGAAAAGAAATATCAACCAATATTAATTATCAATATTTGTTATTGTTTGTTTAAAAATGTTTGATTTTTATGCTAGAATTAGCAGAGTGCTAAAAAAGTGTTCAGAGTTTTTTTTGCAAACTGTACTTTACAAGCTACATTTGACAGATGGAGGTCATTGGATTTCCTATTCTTATTTGAATCGCATTATATTCACATTAGAAACATCCGATGCGACGCAATGCGCCATAGAAAATACGCGTCACGGTTCATAAGGCTGTTTCTGCCTTTAACTGCTGAACCGATTGAAATGTTTGGTACAGAGATAGTTCGAGTCCCGGGGAAGGACATAGGATAATTTTTATCCCAAAATCTTTGATCCTTTTAGGTTATTAGCACTACCAAACTCAGATGCAGCAAAGTCGATGTTTGATATGGTTTTCGCTAGTAAGAAAAGCTCGCCCTCTCCAATGTTTTAAATTAAATTAGTTATGTACTAGCAAACCAGTGAACCAAATGTTCACCAAAACCTGATTTAAAAAAAAAATGTATTTAATTAATTGAGAATTTCGGAGATTTTGTGTGGTTTCGTTTGAAATTCGTGATTTCTCGAAAACCGGAAGTGCTACGTTACTCAAATCCGGTTTGTAGTCTTATCAGACTATTCTTAACTTATAACTTAAATATTCTCTTTATCTATCTCTTACGGTTTGGCCGCTGAAACAGCACCACAGACGGACGGACTTGTCTAATAGATAAGAGATGCTTTGGTTAGGGTACGATGAGGCTGGCATATTCATAGAATAAAAGCCTCTAAATAAAAAAAGAAAAAAAAAAACCTTTTAGGTGGTGAAAATTGTTGTTACTTTGGTATCGCCATTTATAAAGGTATCTATTTTCACTGCGAATTCATGTACAAATTATATTAACAAGGTAGAATCCTCCGTCTTTTTTTCGTCGGTTAAAAAGTTTCAAAGCTATTATGCTAAACCACTTGAGATGGTAGTTGTTAGTAAACAAGTAGGTAGTAATGAACTGAATTATGTAGTTTGCACCACACCACCCGAGGCAGATAAACGATGTATAGCGAAACCAACACTACATACCTAATTAAAGCAAAACTGAAAAACCAAACCTAAAAAGCTTTGCGGAAAATTGTATTATATTAACATAAAATTAAATAAGAAATGTGGAATTTTATTAAAAATCACTAGAATATTGTGTATACATACTATTTCTTTATTATACTGGACTCCCTATTTTACAAGACCTCAGTAAAATTTAATCAAAACACGGGGATCCTCCCTTATTCCTATGAAAAAAAACTCAAGTAACTTCATTGACCGAGAACATTAAATTTAACATTTAAGTAATCAAAATTTAATATGTAAGTGTCATAATAAAAACAGTATTTACCCCATAAGATTAAAATCTATGATTTTCCCTGAGAATAGACACAAACGAACTCTTAGTGCGTTTCAGCGAGATAATAAGAATAACTTAACACTCGTATTTATAAACAAGTAATTACTTAACACTATAATTCTTGAATAATAGCTTTAATTAGCAACGAAATTTAATAAGTACCTACTGTATTTAAGTTATAAGTAAGTTATTCTCATTCTAGTCAGTTCTATTTCTTAAGTATGAAAAGAAAAATGTTGCTCATGTAATTACTTAAGCAAAAGTAATAATATTTACTTTGTTTATAAATACGACGGTAACAGTCCTAAGAGGTTGAAAATTTAATGCATAATTGAGCGGTGTTAAGTAGAAAGTTCGGAGCAGCTGTTTTTGAATCCAGCGAAAGCAGTAAGCGTTAAATCAAACTTTATCATGGGGTAATAGATCTCATTTTAGCTTACATCAAAAATGACTGCTGTCGCTTTCTGCTTTACACCATTAAATGTTTATGTTCATCGCTCAGTAAAAAATCATGTTAGCAAATATCGAGGCGCCTCATTTTCAGCAGCCCTACCTGCCTAACCTCTAAAGGCCTTGTGGCCAGGTCCTAAAGTTTGTCACTTTTACGACCGTATACAAAGACGTCAATTAACTTTTAAGGTTGATCATAACTGTCAGATTCTTTGTTTGAAGGAAGTATAGATTAAGCCAACGCATGACTTTAAATCGCATATACCCAGTCGCCACTGCGGGATTTACCACCGGAGGCAAATGTGAATAAAAAAAAATAACGTTTCTTCCACGCCCCCGCGGGGATTGCCACTGGAGGCAAATGGGAATGAAGTCATTAAACTCAGTCCGGTGGCAATTCCCGTGGGGGTGACTGGAAATATACGAAATTTATTTGATGTCTCTGAGTATGGCCGTCGAGTAATGAATCGATTACTTTCTATCTAGATTGTTCACTTTTCTATATCATTGTAATCGAGATAATGGCTGCCTACTTCTTCGCCATACAATCAAAGAAGTTGTATTCCTTGTTATTTACTTTTAACCGATAACCACTCGAACTTAACGTACCCTTAGCATGAACCAACGTTGAATTCGATCTAGACACGCGTTAAATGTCAAGAAGTTTATTCCTAATCTGTGAGTTTTTATGGAAATTTGAACAGCGCTACAACGGACGTAATGAGAATTAAAATTCTTCTATACAAAACTTCTTCACATGTGACGCGTATCGAGACCGAATTCAACTATTCGATTTTGGTTTGTGCTAAGGATACTGAACATTCGAGTTCAAGGGGTTTACGCCTTACATAACGAATCCTTACCACTTTTTTGACTGTACGTTTATTACGACATTATGTTTGAGTCAAAACCAATATAAATAAATAATTGTTATCACTATGAAATTCCTACTTATTTTTTAATGTGGTATGATTTTCCTTACGGCAAAAATGAAAGACCCGTTCTACATACAGTAGGTATGCAATTAAATTTATCATTGCAATCAAAGCATCTAGAATATACATAATCATCATATTGTATTAATTAGCACTTGAAACATTTAAAATCAAATTAAATAAATTTGTGATGCTTTAAAAACTGATGTAGATATCAATGTGATACCAAGAATTAAGTTTTGGATGTTGTTACATATAAATTAAATACCTGACACATTTGGTAAGTAAAAGAGAGTACAATATTATCACAATATCAATAATTTATACAATAGATTCTCATAACGACATGTATGTTTTTTGTATTGTTAAGTTAAGAGGTAGGTCATCTTCGGAATCTGAATTTGATACTTGTCTATGGCTTGTGGAGGGCACTTCTGCATTATTGTACACAATGGGTTCCACATTATTTGTATAGTTAACGCCGTTACTAGAACTAGAGCTAGTCGCAATACTACTTGACGCGTTCAACGGGGGCGTGTTACCAGAACTTATTTCACTGCTAGATTTTTTATTGTACATCACATTTACAACGCTTTTCAGTCTTTTACTCTCACGGCTTGGACGTCGACGCTTGCGATTTTTGGATTTGTGTCTATAACCACTACTAGTACTTGGTTGATCTAATATTGCCGCACTTTCTTCTTGAGGATCACTAAGTGGTGGTGGAGGTGTTTGTACTGTTGGTGTTGGAGGCGGTGGTACTTTTTTTGATGATTTTACTCCTTTACCAGAGTTTGATTTACGCGTACTGTTTTTGTCCTTTTCCTCTTTAGTCACTTGCTTATTATCTCTGCCGGGCAAACGACTTTTACGCTTTTTATGTCTCCTTTTTTCACTGCTGGTAGAATTAGCTTCTTTGCTTTTCTTTTTGTACTTCTTTTTCTTGGAGGTTTTACGTTTTTTACTTGAGCTATCAGAGGTACTGAAAGAATCAGATTCTGTTGTAGTTGATGATATCAAAGATGACGTAGTTGGTGAGGAAAAGGTAGACATAGATTCTGAATAAGATGCGGACTCCCAACTATGTGGAGGGGATGGTGTGGTCCGACAAGTATCAGTTGTGGTGGCGGTGTCATTAGAACGATGTCTCTTCTTGCGTCTTATCGGTGGAGGCCTTTGCGTGTTGTCATCGCTATCAGAATCTGCATTTTGTTCCGAGGCATGCCTTTTCAATATTAATTTCACTAAAGGTGCCAGTCTAGTGTCTTGGTTCTCCGAACTTTGGGCTTGAGTTTCCGGTGGGTTAGTGTCTTGAACTATAACATCACTGTCGGAACCAAGTAAATCGACAACTTCCGGAGTGCGATCCTGTGGTGGTTTTATATATCCGACGACCATAACTTCGGAAGAATCATCGTCCGTGTCTGAGTGAGATATAGTTTCAATGGGTATGACATTATTATTTGCAGCTGGTTGTGGAATGTAGTTTTGAGGATACACAGGTGCGGGCAAACGCGACGGTCCTGGTGGCGGCTCGGCGGGCCCCGAGCTCGAAACCATTACAATATCGGAATCAACACTAGCTTCAGATTCAGAACTGGAGATGACTTCATTGACCATTGTAGATATTGAGGTATCTGTAGTGTACTGTACATTGCGGTCATATCCTGTTAAGTCGTAAGGCGTGGAAGCAAAACAATAAAGCTCATGAAGAAAATGTTCTGTTCTGTCCCGAAAGTAAACTTGTAAAGCTTCTCTGAATTCAGGCGAGTTGATATGATACCGTGGTAGCAATTCCAGGATACGAGCGATGACATATGATATATGGCCAATATTTTCGTTCAGTAAATAGTGAAGTTCTCTATTGAGCCAAGGCACTAAGCGATGCATTTGTGAATCATTGTACCTTTAAAGAAAAATAAGTATTGGCTTTAAAAAGTTTCCTTATCTATCAAATTTCGACATCTTCGGATGTCGATGTAACCTTATAATCATAGCAACAAATCTTTATCAAAATTAAGGGTAAAGAAATGATAATTACTATTTTACAATGAGCTTAGAGCAAACCTGTAGTGAAATTATGCTCGGGGAGTACGTCCGACAAGTAAATAGACGTACCTATAGAAATCCGGGGAGCAATCTCTGAAGCGGCCGGTGAAGTCGGGTAGCGGACGCGCCCACAGGTTGTGTCGGTACACGGTGCGGCGGAAGGCGAGCGGCGAGCGGCGGCGGCGGCGCGCGGGCGGCACGCGGCCCGTGGGCACGCGCTCCTGCGGCGGCGGGAACACATCCGCCATTATGGGGTAGTGGCGCAGCAGCAGCTGCTGGATCGCCAGCGACTCATGCCGAGGCAACGTCAGCGTTGTTCTACAAACGCACGCAGGGTTATAGCTATTAAATCGGGATTGCTACCATGTACCTTGTTTTTTATGAGTCTCCGATATTTCGGCACTGTTGCAAGCGCCATGATCACGGAGTTAGTGGCCATGAAAGTTTAAAAGAACGCAGGGTTCTTAACGTGGACTTAGACATAGGGAGAGCGTCCGCCATTATGGATAGAGAGGGCGTCCACCATTATAGGGGAGTGGCGCAGTAGCAGCTACTGGATGACCAGCGACTCATACCGCGGCAACGTCAGCGTTGTCCTACAAACGACTGGGTTCTTTAGATTATATGTCTGCCCCTAAGATTTATTTTTTCCTGTATACATAATTAACCTATAAAACGTACTTGTGTTCCCAGTACTACTTGGTTATAATCTGATTAATGATTACAATTACTTGATGAGGCTACATTGCAATTAATAATAAAATCTTGGCCCTGCACTTAGTGCTCATAGCATTGGCCGGGAAAGCAACGGACATTGGTTTGATTCCAGCCAGTTACCTGGGCTTAGTTAAATTAATCCATGTGATTTTCCACCAAAGCCTAAGGATAGACATTTCAAAATAGTGATGAATACCAATTTTTCTCATCATGGAGTAGACATGCAAGGCAACAGGCAGGGATTTTGGGATTTACTCAAGCATGGAAGATTAACTTAAGGGGAGCAATTTAGCATCTTGTGAATTACTATCACCATACCTTAGCTCTTTACATAGTGCGAAAGTCCAGGGCAGCCCATCAGATTAGTAAAAAAAATCGATTGTTGGAAAACCTCGAGCACGTCACATTAAGGTAAGTTAATTACATGCCGATACGTGTACATTTCAATAATCTGGCAATTTGTATGTGTGTAGTGTGACATAAAGAAATTCAAAAAAAGGATATTCACAAAGTTGCAAAAAAATGTCACCTGAACATACTCGAGCGCAGTAATACATTTTTTTATTTTGAAGGAAATTAGTCACGAACATGGAAATAACATAATTATAAAGTGTGGTGCATGCAGTCGCTAAAAACTATGTATAAATGTTAAGCCTATGAGGATGTCGTCATTACAACTAATTTTCCAAGGCTTAGATACATATGATTATTTTTCCAAACTTCAATAATATCACAAAATAAATAAAATAAAATTTAAGTATTATAAACACTGTTTTTTGCAGATACTAAAAACAATGATGAAAACAACCAAGTCGAACCAGAGTTTTAAAGATGATTTTACTGGCAATGTAGATTGAAAAATTATCTTTACAAGTACAATTTTTAGGGTTCCGGTCCTCAAAAGGAAAAAAACAGAACCTTATAGGATGATTTTTTTGTCTGTCCGTCCGTCTGTCAAGACCGTTTTTCTGAGACGCGTGGAGGTATCAAACTGAAATTCATATCTAATACTCAGGTCTACTGTCCCTTGGAGCTGTGAAAAAATCTAATTCTAAGCCAAAGCAATCAAAAGATACAGCCATTTATGCCACAAATTTCCGCAAATTTTCGAAACTCGCACGGGAATCAAAACCTACCCGACCCTACTTCCCGTGAACTTAGAATCTTGAAATTTGGTACGAAGTAATGTCTTATAGTACAGATAAATAGTGCAGTCATTGAAGCATTATTGCTCCGAATTTTTTTACTGTGAACCGAATTGCATACAATTTTGGAATTAGGTTCATCTTACCCTTAACTTCAAAAGTGAAAATGATGTGAACTCCGCAACCACCCTGGGGGTGGTTGCCACCTCTTCTCGGGGGTGAATTTTTTTCTTTCAAAATAACCTCGGATATCGATAGAAAGCCTAATTTTAAGCAAAAAATCATCTATAAAGTTTTTCAAAAAATCCAATACTTTTCAAGTTATTGGCAATTGAAAATTCGAATTTTTTTCCCGTTTTTCATCGGTTTTTTGCAAATATCTCCAAAAATATAAGTTTTATCGAAAATTTTATAAAAAAACAAAATTATAGAAGGTAAAACAATGAACAAATTGGTTTTTTATTAAGTATTCTAAGTGCAATATTAAGCTAGATATTAAAGATCAAAGCCGTTTTTTATTTTGTCTGAAATTTAATCGATATGGTCAATGCCATCTAGCGGCGAGCAGATGCATTTTATGCATTCTAATACAAAAGGGTTTTGTAGTGCTTGAAATAAGCTTTAAAATGAGTACTATTAAAAGTCTTTTGCACGTAAAATTAGTGAGCTGTATTGCAAATAAGGTGAGCATCTAATGTTTTTTCTTTTAAATCAATGGGTTTCATAAGTGCCATTTATACCAAAATTAAAATTAATCGTATTCCGCCTAGAATTAACTTTATTATGAAGAGTTTGATAGATAGTATCAGTTTGGCTGCTTCAGGACACCATATTTTTCAAAAGAGTCACGATTAAAAACAAAATTTCAAATTTTTAAAAAACCCACTTTTTTTTCATAATATCTCAAAAATGACGACAGATACGTATAAAAGTGTACGGATTAAAAATTTAGGTATTTTTCTGACAAACAATTTGGTTTTTTTGTTTTTTCTGTCAAACAAAAATTGACGGAGATACGATTGTTTAAAGAGCGCATGGCAGCGCAATCACAGCCTCTCTTAAGCCCTTTAACCCTTCACCGTTTTAGAAAAAGGTTTTTTACTATATATTGCAATGAAGGATGTTGTAGCTCTCTTAATTACCTTTATAATGGTTTTTTACAAATTGTGATAGCATGAAAATTGAAGGAGTTATGGTCCAAAAACTTATCAAATTTTTTTCTACTTACTAACGAAAATTTCGGAGTGTGAATATTTGGAGCAATGTGAAAGTACGCAGTATAATAGAGACCCACAACTATTGTAATGTGTATATATATACATAATATGGCTCATATATTTTGGAAACGTAGGCATGAATACATACCAACGTTCTTATATGTATATATAACACATTTGAGTGAAGGGGCCAACGAAAAAGAATTTTAAATTTAACAATTTTTTATCAAGGGGTAGTTTTCAAGGGTTGAAAGGGGGTTAAAAATTTGATAATTATTATAGAGAATATAAAATATTACTTACTCTATACTTACATCTTTTAATGTCATACCAAAGTATTTTTTTGTGATTTTTTCAATTTAGGGGTTGTTTGCAAGGGTTGTAAGATTTTCAAGGGGGGAAAATGATTTTAATATGAGGTAATTATGTTAGAAAATACTTTACAATTTCACCACTTACTATTTTTGACATGTTTTCTAGCGATAAAATGGCTCAATGTCAATTTTTCCATTAAGTGGTAGTTTACACCCCTTAAAAATAATAGGCGGAGTTCAGATCATTTTCACTTTTGAAGTTAAGGGTAAGATGAGCCTAATTCCAAAATTTCATGCAAATCTGTTCACAGTAAAAAAAATCGGGGGTAAGACCCTATTTTTCGCTTCAATGACTGCACTAAAAGGAAAAATTGCGAAATCCGTAAATTTTTAGTTGCATCATATAATAAAAAATATTTTTGGAAATTTTAAAGTTACTACCTCTTTTCTCATGAACGCGTAGAGGTATTAAATTTAAATTTATATCAAATACCGTGAAAATTTACTTATATACCTACAGGAAGCCTTGGTGCGCGAGTCCGACTCGCACTTGGCCGGCTTTTTTTTAATAAATACAGGATTAAATTTTAACTGTATACTATATATGTATTTTATACTTTATTTATTACATTCAATAATTTAAATAAAATATATGAATTCGAATTGTGATTTTTTTTTCTCAAACTGTCACTTTATGTGAATTCCTTCACATAATTGTCAGATTATTGGTCAGTATGTTAAGGGCATCAAGATGAAGCGAGTGCATAATAATTTGATGCGCTTGAGTATTTTAATGTCACATTTTTTTTTGCAACTTCTATAAGCGGCTATTACTTATGGTCGCATCCAAATCAGTCGTTTGAATGGGCGCTACTGGACGCTTCGCGTTATCAATATCTGACATGTTTGAATAACTTTTTTTCTCTATTTTATACCCCTTCACTCCTTCGTACGGCCAGCCCAACCTGTTTTTTATACATTTTTGAAAGTCTGTACACACTCCCACCAGTGAGAATACATTATAGAATATATGTATACTTTTTTCTTTTTAGCACCTAACATTCACAATCCAATACATCCCAACGACACTCAAGTAAATCCCTAATTAGCATTGTGGGCTCCCCTACTATGATCCCTATTCATTAGAGCTAATCAGGGGCTAATAATTTTACTAAAATCTTCCCTAACGTTTTTCCTAATTATGAAATGGTAAGATATCTTAGAAAGAAAAACAGTCAAACTGTACTTATGAAGGTTCACTAACCTTGTGAGTCACTCTCACTACAGATAAAAAAAATGGAAAACACAACTACCTGTATCTGAACCTCCGTGTACTTGCTGCTAGGTTATCAAAGTCCAATCTTTCAATTGTTTCTTCTGTTTGTCTCTGCTCAACCATATACTCCTCATATTGATGATTAGACCGTACATTATGAATAATTGATCTAAAATTTTGTTTGCAAAGTGGGCACTCTGCTTTTACCTATAAAATAAAATAAAAATAGCCTTTATTCTCTGCTGTACATGTTAAAAGTAACTTAAAATTAAAACTTTTAGTTTAATCGCTGACATTGGCATGTGTACAATCAGGTTGTCCTTAGACATAGGCCTCCTTCACAAAAGATATAATGGAGTGGTACCCTCAAGATGGTAAACGTAGAAGAGGTAGACAACACAAAAGATGGGAAGACGATCTACCCAAGAGTTGGCGACGAGCAGCCACAGATAGGAACCAATGGGCCAATTTGGAGGAGGCTTTTACCTATAATCAATAATAAAAAATCACTAGTTTATATCATACCTCCCAATTTCCCTTGAAATCATATCAATATTATGTAAGGAGCCTTTAGCAGACTGGCTAAGGTTTAGTCTTAGTTATGCTACAGAATTTCTCTCTGTCCAATGTTATGAAAGCAATACTGGACAGTTATAGATGCAGGACTGTGATAGGGAGAAGCCTGGGCTGGTATTGAGAGCTGGTGGCAGAGAGAACTTGTGAGACTAGAAGAATGCAGACTAGGGACTGGTCTGCCAACTGTATTGTACATTCTCACCCATCTGAGGCCCAGATGCACCTTAACTTACCCCAATGGCAAGAAGGGTGTTAATGGCTAAAGTTGATAATAAAATTTTATATGAGCAATAGCTTTTCTCCTTCCTACAGATTCATATAAAGTAAATGAAAATTCTTATTTTTTAATACAAAATTGTAATGCATTCATCCAAAAAATAGATAGGATTTCCATTTATTTTTATGATCTTAAGCATTTTGTTTTACTTCAGCCATTTGTCAAATTTCAAAATGGCATTAATGAATATAGCACTAGCAACGCAAAGGCAATTTAATTATTTTTTTACTATTGAGTCTCTCTGAGAAATAGTAAAAAAAACTGTATATTAGCATATCTGGTGCCAATATCATTTAAACCCTAAATAAAAAAATGAATATGTGTTCATTACTTGGATATAATATAAATAATAATCTTTATTTCTTCTTCCACGATCTACAAATCCCATTATAACTTATTATACTATAATTTTTATATTAAGAACAGTAAAATAGATTGTGAGAGACTGGTGCCTGAACTGGGCAGAATGCCTGTATCTCAGAGCACCAGGACTCTCCCTCCCCTGGAGAATGCACATTGAGCAGTTATGGAAAGGATGGCAAATTAGCACATTGTTCACCTGATGGTAAATAGTCATTGTAACTTATCAACAACTGCAACACCAAGGATTAAAAACTCATCACAGCTTTTAATAAGAAGCCCATGCTGTATTACGAAATTTAAAGAGAAACAAGGAACTCAGAGCCCCCCAAATAAGAAATATGTGGCTTACTTCATTTCACTATGAGTGGTTGAACTCTGTTGATGACAAGTGTGTGATTATATAAGGGTGGCCTAAGATGATGTTCATAAGCTGAACTACTAAAGATTTATTTATTGTTAATAAAATAAATGTTAAAACTAACAAAGTATTTTTCTTACCCTACTCCAAGTCAGAAGACATTTAAAACAAAACTGGTGCAGACAAGAATCAGTGAAAGATTTATTTCTACATGTGCCGAGGCAAATAGCGCAGTTAGGCGGTGGTGACCCACGACCACTTTCATGTTGTGGGCTACTGTCATCACTCTTGACACTACTGGGATTGGCCCCTGAGCTATCGTCTTGAGCCGATGCTGATACAGTCTCCATTATATCTGAAACCAAAATAGTACGTAAATAATAGTTCAATCCTAAGATTTACATATTTGTCTTTAGGAATCAGAAGTTCCTTTAGGTTTCTTCGTAGCAACTAGATTAAAAAACAATAGAAATTAAAAATACCTGGGTATGATTGATCTCATTTATTTAAAATACATTTTATTCACTTTTGAATTAATTTTCCCAATGACAATGTGTAGGAATGCGTGATCTAGAATTATTATTTGACATGACAGATTTGATTAATACTAAACTTGTGGTAGATAGGTATGTATAACTGTGACGTGCGCCGTAATATGATTACGTATTTTAACAAATATATACCAAATATTCAGTGCCACTCAATAAACTACAAAATCATATTGATTATAGCAGAAAAACACGTTGAAAAACATTCGCCAATTCGTTCGGCTCAGGCTCAACCAAACATGGCAGACCACAGAACAACTCAAATCAAATTTCGTCTACGGCGGCACTTCACTTGGCCATTCGGTATTTGGGTTTTTATGTAGAAATTTTTTGGCAAAAATATCACGAAAACGTCAATACAAATACACGAAAATATGACCAAATAAACATGCCATCAAAAAACGAATAAGCACAGATTAGCGAAGATAAACACAAACATTACAAACATTTGTGATCGATATGTCTTTAAATATTTACAACATAGCAAGAGTAAGGGTGCGGCCAGAGTGCACTCAGATTCAGATTCAGACTCAGAAAACAAAGCGCGAGAAAAAGCAGGCAACCTGCTTAGACTACACTGTTTTCGGAATCTAAATCTGAATCTGAGTGCACTCTGGCCGTGTCCATAGTTTTCTTATCTATTGTCACGTGACACGTGACACTCAGATTCAGATTCAGTAGGGTACGGGTACGGGTACGACCAGAGTGCACTCAGATTCAGATTCAGACTCAGAAAACAAGCGCGAGAAATATACAGTGTAGTTTAAGCAGGTTGCCTGCGGCCACTATGGCCACCCTGCTTTAATTACACTGTTTATTTCTCGCGCTTGTTTTCGGAATCTGAATCTGAATATGAGTGCACTCTGGCCGTACCCTACAGGTGCGGCCAGAGTGCACTCAGATTCAGAGTCAGATTCAGATTCTGAAAACAAGCGCGAGAAATAAACAGTGTAGTCTAAGCAGGTTGCCTGCTTTTTCTCGCGCTTTGTTTTCTGAGTCTGAATCTGAATCTGAATCAGGAGTGCAATCTGGCCGTACCCTTCGACTACACTGTTTATTTCTCGCGCTTGTTTTCGAAATCTGAATCTGAATCTGAGTGCACTCTGGCCGCACCCTATACAGTGTAGTTTAAGCAGGTTGCCTGCGGCCAGTCTGAATCTGATTCAGATTCCGAAAACAAGCGCGCAAAAAAAGCCATAGGCATTACATCCTTACCGTCTTACTACATTTATGACAAAAAAACCAGCCACACCTGTGGTGCCAAATAACGCAAAACCACAGATTAGCAAGATGCCGATCATTTGTCTTATTTGCTAAATATGTTGATGTTTGTCAATAAAGCAAATGTTTTGTCGTTCAAACTAACCACACAAAACTTGTTAGTTTTTTGATAAACATGAGAAAACGGCAAATACGAATGGCCAAGTGAAGTGCCGCCGTTAGGGATGCCCGAACAGAGTTAATCTTCTAATGGCGGCACTTCACTTGGCCGAAATGCCAATATTCCCCGTTTTTGTGTACAAAGAAGAATGCCAAAGATCTCACATTCCAATAACTATGTGTGTAACACAACGATATTAAATATCCTAGATACACGAGCGCTCAAAATGTGTCCCAATCAAGAAGTGCTTGAACTCCACTCAAGCACTTCTTGGTTCCCATTCACGCGCGGACCGTTACAAAGGTTGCTTTCCAATTACAGCATTATTGCGCATTACGCGGCATAATGCTTAACGTTGAGTGTTCCAACTACAGCAACGCTTCGCACAATTGAGCACTCTCAAAAGTGATGCTTTCGTGTGATGCGTGCAATGATACCAACTTAGAGAAAGAAAATTAACAAGTGTTTTTTCTTTAAGTTGGCATTGATCGAAATGGTATATTTATATGTTATCGTTAGTAATATTATTTATTGTTGAAAAATTATTAAAGCTTTCGTTTCAATAAATAGTTTTTTTTAAATAATCAAAGTTCATTCAAACTGTTAAAAAATAAATATAAGTATGGATGAAGGTACAAACATTGACTTTTTTTTTCAACACTGAACTTAGCGCACTCTGCTGGTGCATTTGAAAACTAATTCACGTTCCAATTAAGCGTCAGCATAATTGGGCATTGTGCGGCACTGAGTCGCATTATGCTCTGTAATTGGAAAGCATACAATGTCAAAATGCCACAGAGCTCCGCGAAAAAATGTGAAAATAAAATAAAATAATAAATAAATAAATAAGCCGTCTCTTTTCCTCGCGGTCCGTGCCTGCTATATTACTAACAGCGCGTTCAGAATTGCGCGTAGAGTCAAAGAACTAAGGTCTAAATTCTTCCGCATATAGCAATAAGTCGTAAAATTTTATGAAATTGCATTTTGAACTATCAGGAGTCCTTGACGCATGCGTTTTATTTAAGACCTTATACAGTTTGCATTAAAGGTTACTTTCAATATTTAAATAATGCATTATATTGATTTTAACTACGCGATCGTCTTACGGAGCTCCGTGGATCGTTCAATGTACCTTTTCGACAGGTTTCGGGCACGATTTTCTTTGTGTTGGTGTATCTAGGGTATTTAATATCGTTGGCGTAACATCGTTAAATTGGTATTTTTAAGCTGAATAACAGTTAATGGTGTTCTGGCATGATTGTCTTAACTTAAAACTAAATTTAACATTAGTCTCTCTTTTTCATTCTGTATAGAGAATGACAAGGATACACTGTCAAATTTAAGTTTAGGTTTAGAGAATCATGCCAGAATTGAGACCACTATAGCGCCAAGTTCCAAATCTTAGTTCGTTCTGAGTTATCCTTAATTAAACATGGCAGTTTGAGCAGTAGTCAATTCTGAATATGCTAAATTTACATGTGATCTTAAGTCTTTGTTGGAGTTTAGTGCTTGCGATTAGAGATGGGCAGTGGGAAAAAACCCAATGGGAAAAAATGAATGACAAGGATACACTGTCAAATTTAAGTTTAGGTTTAGAGAATCATGCCAGAATTGAGACCACTATAGCGCCAAGTTCCAAATCTTAGTTCGTTCTGAGTTATCCTTAATTAAACATGGCAGTTTGAGCAGTAGTCAATTCTGAATATGCTAAATTTACATGTGATCTTAAGTCTTTGTTGGAGTTTAGTGCTTGCGATTAGAGATGGGCAGTGGGAAAAAACCCAATGGGAAAAAACCGGGTATTTATGTGGGAAAAAACCCAATAGACGGGTATTTTCATTATTAAACATAATTATCACGACCGTACCCTCAGAAAACAAGCGCGAGAAATGTGGTTTAAGCAGGTTGCCTGCTGCCACTATGGCCACCCTGCTTGAACTACACTGTTTATTTCTCGTGCTTGTTTTCTGAGTCTGAATCTGAGTGCACTCTGGCCGTACCCTATTATCTTTTTCGTGTATTTTTAGTAAAATTATATTTTTTCTGTAAAAATCCCTGCCAATATTCATTCTAAAAACAGATGCTAACAATTAGCACTTTATTTTTATTACTGTCAAATACCCTATTGTTTTTAGATTTTGATATTTCAAAAAATAGTCTCAATTCGTCCCACTGGTTTAGTTATTCTATTTACTGCGCAATGTTTAGAACAATCATGGTTCTTGAACATTGTTTTTTCAAAACATTTCCCGGCTGCTGCGACTTTAGCAATGTTCAGTAAACATTTTTTTAACAATACTTCACATTTAAAAAAAGTAACAGCAACGAGGAAGACGTAAACATTGTTTGTTGGCTTTAGTACTCTTTTTATTTCACGATTGAATTGTGATCTGAGGCTTAACCGTTCTGCGCTCAGAGTTCACCCATAACTTCCGCGAAGGCATCTCATTTTTTTTCTTACTTTTATTTCCATTTGAAGTTGCATCCTAAATAATGGATTTTTTACGTATCAACCACGTATCAACATGATTAATGACAGTGTTGTCTCTGGATTCCACTTCACAATCCATCATGATAGTCACATCAAAACACGTCTTCCTACGCCAAAATCAAACATAAAAAAGAACGATTCCCCTCGCCCGCAGACGAACGCGGGGGATATTTTCTAGAAACTCCGGCAAACGACTTAAAGTATATTTAAAAATAAAAAATATGGGTGCGTGTACTTAAGTACGCGCGTGAGAAGTTATACTTCTTTTTGGAATTATTAAAAAATAGTTTTTAATTGCATGCAGATAATTAATTACAATAAGATAATAAAAGGATTGGAAAAGGATAGTCAACGCAGTCAATAAAGTTCAGTTTTAATTTGAAAAATTTAATAAATAATCAAAATATTCAATTTAAATCACTACTGAATTTAAGTTATTAGTCCATATGTAATTAGCACTTGTAAGTAACTAAAACACGTTGTGTCTATATAGAAACTAGAAACATGTGGATAATTATTATAAATATGAAAACAGTGATCAGAGGCGACGAGCGTACCAACATTGTTTTTGACAACGCGATCATCTTATGGAGCTCCGTAGATCGTTCAAAGTACCTTTCGAACAGATGTCTAATAATGGTGGATTGGATTATTAACCACTAAGTGGTTATATTATTATTAATCACTAAGTGGTTAATAATCCACCATTATTAGACACTAACATTCATAACGCGCCCGCGGCCAACTTCATGGTGTTACTATTGTGTTACAGTGATGCGCGCGCATCTCGAAATTTCACTCTCATATTTTTTTCATAACGCGGCTAAAGAAGTGTAACTTCAATATTAATAATAAAAAAAAAACTAATACTATGCTCGATAAATAATTTAGGCTACACCTGTTATTTATGTTTTCGAACAATATTCTGTTCAAAACATGGCGCAGCGGACACGCCTTTATTATTTCCCAAACTAAAGAAGTTTTTTTTTTATTATTGCACTACTTAGGCACTGGTCTCGATTCTGGCGTGATTATCTAAACCTAAACTTAAAGCCATTGGGCAAAAATGTATGGACGCTACACCCACGTCCGCCACGGCTTAAACTACATTTGTTTGAAAGGTATTATAGTCATGATCATCTGTGCCACAGCGCATGTGCAATCCCGAACTAGGGACACGATATCGAATAGAAAGTATCGATACTGTACTCATGAGTAGTATCGGTAAAAAAGTATCGAAACAAAAGTATCGATACTTCAAAGTATCGAGTACATTTCATAGGGTCTTATCGGAGCCTCTGTGGCCTGATGAGCACCCCCCCCCCCCCCCGGTGTTAAAATTGAAAGAAAAACAATCGAATTTTATTATAGTACGTATAATCAAAAACAAAAAAAGGACATGTAAATTCACAAATTGCTATATTATGTAATGAAAAGAAAATAGCTGTGATTTCTGACACTAAAAAAGTGTCCATTAATATTCTTTTTTTCAGGTGGTTTCAAGTAAGTATACACAGCACAGACAGAATAATAGTGTTACACTTGAATAAATCAAATACAGTCAAGCGAAAAGCACAATAAACGGCGAATCAATCACAGTTCCTAACAATATGGTCGCTAAATAAATAACAGTAACTATGAAACAAAACAAAGCGCAAAATAAACACAGTCACAGATTGGAAAGAATTTGAATATGTCAGTTACTGACTTTATAACAACGCAATGGGTCATTTGACAGTATCAAAAATAAAGTGCCAAAATAACGAAAAAGATATTAGTTTTCTTATCTATTGTCACGTGATCCAAAACGCTTCGGATTGGCGGAGCCTAAAATGACGTCACACGCAAGTAAACTTCCGGTCAAAGTGACAGTACATTGTATCGTTTGACGTTTTAATAACAGTCGTGTGACGTCACACACTACGTATTATCCAGAGAAACGTTTTCGCGGCAACTTGAAAATGGAGTTTTTGATTTGGTTATTTTTACTGAAATACACAACAAAATGATGAATATCCACTTTTTATGAACTCCATAAACATTAGACAATAACGTGAGATCATTGCCTAAAACTTGTCAAATAGCCTATGGAACGTTTTAGAAGGTTTGCTATGATTTGACAAGATGGCGTTGCCATCAGTATGAGGCGCTAATCCAAATTTTTTAAAGGTATCGATACTTGCCAAAAAGTACTCATTTAGTAAAAGTATCGAATACAAAGTATCGAGTACAAAAGTATCGGTATCGAAAGGAAAAGTACTCGATACCACAAAGTATCGATACTTTTGTCCCTATCCCGAACTCGATGTGGTGTACGCTAGCATGACGGACATCTGATTTTGTGCCAAGAACGATAAGAAACTGAATGCGTCTGCATTTAAATATAAAAAAATATTTATGATGACATTATATGGACTTAGGATCCTTTTCCTTTACATAAAAAGAAAATTAAGACAAAACAACAGCAGTCAGTGTCACTGTCAGAATTTTACCTGGTCAAATGAAGTTCTAAACTGGAACGCAAAGCAAGGATTATATAAACATTATTTATTGGAAAAAATAAAATCTGTTATCTAATCATCACACCATGGGATTGCTAAAAAAGGTAAGTATAATCAAAATTTATAGGAACCACCTATATACCAAAATATTTGCAATGTGATATTTTATATCGAATCGTAAAACGACTAGCAAAGACCATTTTCACAAATGTTTGTGTTATTTTCAGACTACTGGCCTTACGGGCTTGGCAGTTTCTGCTAATCCTCATCACACTTTAGGAGCTCTTTATGGGAAAATCTTAAGAACACTCCAAAAAATGCCTGAAAATGCAGTATATAGAAAACACACTGAACAAATTGTTCGTGAAAGAGCGGCTGTTCTTCAACAGGTACCTAAAAGCTTTGGATATTGTTTGATGTTTTAATAAAATGCTATTAGCTGTATTTATAACAATGAAATATTCTTTCAGACCAAAGATGTGAGTGAACTGGAACAGAAAATTAACTGTGGACAAGCTGAAGAACTAATTATTCAAGCTGAAAATGAACTTAATCTGGCCCGTAAGATGTTAACCTGGAAGCCTTGGGAGCCTCTTGTTGCAAAGCCACCCAAAGGACAGTGGGACTGGCCACCAGCACAGCAATAATCTACGTATATAAATATTCTGAATAGGTCACCAAAATTTTAATGTATTAAATTCATAATAGAAATTTAAAGATTTTTTGATATTAATAAAATATCTTGATATTCATAGAAACATTTTATTCAATACCTATAAATAAATCTAGGACCAGTCCATTTACCCATTTATGTCTAGAGAATACTAAAACATAATGCAACTCCTAGAATAATCCATTTTAAATATAAGCTTATGAGAGGATTCTTTAACAGTTGTCAATTATTAAAAAGAAGTATAATTGATTATTACTAAAAGTATTAAAAATCGTTTTAATATTGTTCAAAGTTATGTGTAAAGTTGTACAGTAATACAGCTGTCAACCTAATCAAATCAAATTTATAATGCTTCACCATGTTTTAACTACTTGTTGATCAATAAAATTTGTACCTACTTGCAATACAAAATTCAATAAAGGATTACAAAGTGGCCCTATGTTCAAACATGTATGGATATAATTACGCCAACTAAAGCATATACTCAAGTGTTATGGCCAAAAGCTTTCTTATTCTCTATCAATAATGAATGGACTTCAAAGCAGTTTTCTTTGTATACAAAATAGTACAGTAGAAGATTGATTTCAACATATGAACCAAAGACCAAGGAGGCATTTAATCTGATCAAAAACTAACAGGAGTCATTTAAATTCCGAACATTTAATTTATGTATCTATTTCAAATCTATTCAGTTTCAATCCAGTGTTAACTTTCAAATAAATGAACATATTAATATCATCAGAGATGGAAAAAAGACAGAAAATAACAATATCACTTCTTAAAGAAAAAAATGTGCTTTCTCGTTGTCTTTCACCTGAATTTGGTCAGATTTCATGACCAAGGGTAAACCAGAAGAAAAAAAGCTTTAAATGCTTATTTTAAATGTTTTGGTAAGCTTTCCTGTAAATTCAATAATTGAAGGTTTTCTATTGACTCAGGGTCTTTCTCAATATCCTATGCTCTGTATATGAATATTTCTTTCATAATTAACTACTGACCAAATAATGTCACATTAACAAAATTAGACAAACCTTCTATTTTACTATGCATAGGTTATTGGGATTTGAATGCATTTAAGATTGTCTTTGGTACTACACTGTGCAAATTATATCTAAACTTTAACTGGGTAATGAAAAGTACTTCTGAATTAAGAACTTAATTTTTGCATAACTTATTTAAGGTAAGTACTATAATAATCTATCATTGGGCTGCAATTATCTCTCACAAACATTAACACATTTAATTTTATCAGCAGTATAGTTGTGAACACAATTTGAAAGGTTTGAGAGATAAAAGTGAGTAGTATCTATACTTAAAATATTTGATTTGTGATGGTTGTTCAAAACAGGCTTGAACATATATTTTTGTAATTCAGTCAGTTATTGAGACTATAAGCTTATTTTAAAAAATGTTTGTATTGGCAACTCTTACAAGAAATCTTTGATTAGTACAAAACCTATGATTTACATATTATCTTGTATAAATATATACAACAAATGGCAAAACTGATAAAAATATATTTGGAATGTTAAAAAAATGTAATATGAAGTGCATGAATTGCACAAATTATAAATAATTAATTTATAATTCTTTTTAATATGAGAAAAGATAATCTCATTATAACATTTATTTTATGAAGTTTATTTGGCACAATGCAAATGTGCATTACCTTAACAACAATTCATTAGGCAATAAACATATTTATATAAATCTAACCAATTAATAAATTTTCATTTTATAAGTACAAAATCACATTTGATCAAAGGTTAAATTGAATCTTAATCAATATGAATTAAAATACAGTACATATTTCTAATAACAGAGATTATTGGTAACTCACTTTAAATGAAATCTCCTTTAGCCATAATACAAAACAATAGAAAAGAATAATTGTTATAATTTGATTTTGTAAATAACACCATAAAACTGTGTATTATAAAAAATACTCTAAACCATTTTTAATCAGTTAGTCCATTTTCATAATTAACATACAATTTAAACCCTTATATTTAAAAATAAATAACAGTATAAAATCGCTTGTAATAATAATACTTAGAGAGGGATTTACTAAGAGAGGCAATTCAAACCATTTACAACATGCTAAAACAATAGTTTCAAGTATGTCATGCTACAGGCAGTTTGCCTCATAATGGTATATCCTTTGTTTTATTTTTAAACAAAAAAGATGTCATATTAAACCAACTTGTAGTTATGTTGACGTGACACCCTTTCTTGCAACCAATAAGTTTAGAACTGGATGTTTTTTAATATAGCTTACTGCTTTCTTATGTGTAACCATTGTAAAGTCATAACCATTGCATTGCAATATTTTATCATGCATCCTTAATCCTGATTTTGCAGCTGGGCTTCCTTCATGAACTTCAGTGACATATATACCCTGATAATAAACAAATTTTGATTAAAATGGGAGTTTGTATAATCATTAGTTTCATATGCAACTATTTTATACATTCAAAGTGACTTTTTATTTACAAGCTTCGTACAAGAAATAATATAATGCATACGTACGTTATCAGTATAACCCTGGGGGCTTTTCCGGAAATCTTGGTCTATACCACCACCAATTTTAAACCCACACTTCATAACTTCACGACCTTCAGCATCTACACCGGCTTCTTTTTGAAGAGTGATTGGAATCTGGAAAATAAATGATGCTCAAAAAGGCTTGTTTTGTTTGTAAAACACTGGGAGTGGTCATAACTCGCATCAAACTACTAACACTGAGGCACTCCATAGCCGTGCCGGCTTGGTGTTGAAATGCCATTTTCGCCATGATTGCTGGTTTATGAAAATTTAGGCTCAAAGTAAAATATTAACAATGTAACTAAATAATTGGGGAAGGTTAAATGACGGATTTCTTTTGGCTGCTGGCTGGATCTGGCCATAGAGAATTGTAACCACTTCGTTTTGTTTTAAGCCCACAGATTATGCTTTACTCAGCAGCATAGATTACAGATTACAGAGTTCATCAACACACCACAGATGTGTCCGTGATGCTAGCGTACCCATGATCAATATACGGTTTTTCGTTATGCCATTAAATAGTGCGTAAATAGTGCCAAATTAGTGTAAAAATAATAAAAATAGTGCCTCTTTAATTTAAGAAATAAATACCATTTTTACTGTGTACGCTACCATGACGTCAAGCTAGCGTACCCATGGCCGACCCCAAGAACGGCATATATTTAAGCAACGAAATTGACACACAAAAATAGTTCGCAAATAGTGCCCTGGCTTTACAAAATTTCATAATCAATACTCTTAAAGGACCAAAGATATTGAACTAAACATTCTTAGCTGGCGTCAACCTGGCGTACCCATAATAGTTCTCAAAGAAAATGAACTTTTCTCGTTATCTATTCTATATGTATAAATAGTGTGTCAAATAGTGCCTCTAACAGTAAAAGTATTTTATGTGAATCCGCATCACAACAATACATAAAGAGGGTGTTAAATTCTAGGAACAAATGTATTGTAGTACAGTTACACACAAAATTAATTTATGCACTAAGAGATTATCTATATATGTATTTTACTATAATAAATAGGTACTTTTTATAAAAAGATATTATATTTCAATTCGAATTCACCAATCATAAATTCATATAAGAATTTCAACCTACTTACCTAGCTACCTACCTACTAAGTACCTTACTTACCTACTATACTACGAAAATATTATCACTTCTGTACATGACTGTACTTCATATATAAAAATAATTTAATTGCTTTTTTTATATTGTTTTACTGCGAATTAACATAAAATACTTTTACTGTTAGAGGCACTATTTGACACACTATTTATCTATATAGAATAGATAACGAGAAAAGTTCATTTTCTTTGAGAACTATTATGGGTACGCCAGGTTGACGCCAGCTAAGAATGTTTAGTTCAATATCTTTGGTCCTTTAAGAGTATTGATTATGAAATTTTGTAAAGCCAGGGCACTATTTGCGAACTATTTTTGTGTGTCAATTTTGTTGCTTAAATATATGCCGTTCTTGGGGTCGGCCATGGGTACGCTAGCTTGACGTCATGGTAGCGTACACAGTAAAAATGGTCTTTATTTCTTAAATTAAAGAGGCACTATTTTTTTTATTTTTACACTAATTTGGCACTATTTACGCACTATTTAATGGCATAACGAAAAACCGTATATTGATCGTGGGAACGCTAGCATCACGGACACACCACAGATTAAGTTTTAGCTAATTTTAGGTACGGGTTGTTTTCCAATTACAGAGCATAATGCGACTTAGTCGCGCACAATGCCGAATTATGCTGATGCTTAAGTTAAAAAGTTAAGTTTGAATTAACTTTGATTATTTAAAAAAAATACTATAATGAAACGAAAGCTTTAATAATTTTTCAACAATAAATAATATTACTAACGATAACATATAAATAAAACATTTCGATCAATGCCAACGTAATAAAAATTGCCGATAGTTGGCAGTTTCCCGCTAACACAATTTTCTGTCACTGAGTTGGTACGATTGCACGCCTCACACGAAAGCATTACTTTTGAGAGATTTTCTGTCACTGAGTTGGTACGATTGCACGCATCACACGAAAGCATTACTTTTGAGAGTGCTCGATTGTGCGAAGCGTTGCTGTAGTTGGAACATTCAACGTTAAGCATTATGCCGCATAATGCGCTCTAGTGCTGTAATTGTAAAACCATCATGATGTTCTTTGCTGAAAAATAAATAACGTGTGACGAGCTCGCATATGTAAACAGTGCGCTCGCTATTCGTCTCGTGATTCGCATCGAGATTCTGTCCTCGGTTTTTCGGACGCGAATCAAAGAGCACGTATGTCGAGCACGAGCTGACAGATAAGACATTCAGTTGACAGCTACCTAAGGGTGCGGCCCTTATGCCCGAACAACGCCTGACCCAACAGGACTTGTAGCCAAAATGGAGTGGGCATAGATAAATGATTGGTCTCGCTTCACTCGACATTCATCTATGGGAGTCGGGTTAAATGCAGATTTTAGAATTCCTAGAATTTTATCAAAAAAAAATAATTAATAAAACAATACTTAAGAAGCGTACAATAATTTATTCTTCTATAACAATATTCCGTCAATAATAATTATAGTCCGGCCTCACTCGATGTCAGGAAAAAAGTGAGAGCGCAAACAACTGGGCTGCCAACCATAGAATTGTTTTCCTCGTACATGTGCAGCTAAAAATCTCGTAATATGGCTTTCGAATCTCGTACACAATAGGGAAGATGCAAATATAATATTTATGAAAATTTTATGATTAAAATGTTAAAAAAATATAAAAGAAAGGCCACTGCAACGTTTTTATTTTACATAATGTTGTTTTTTTACCAATAATTACTAATTAAGAATGACTTGAAAAAAACGTATTTTAAAACACCAATCAGCGTTTAGTGACGTCACTCCTGTTATGACAACTTATTTGAGATTATAGTTATAAAAGTGAATATTATTTTATGGAAATATTAGTTGCGTTTTTTTAATAAAAATGGAAGTTGAGTTGATCAAAGCAGACTCCAGGAAGTTATCAAGAGTTGTTGTAACTTTTTTTGTCCAAAGTGCAGAGTTTTCAAGTGTAGAAATGAAAGGGACTAAATTACTACGGTAGGTATAAATCATAGTTGCTTAACTTTGTATTTTATTCAGCGGCTTCTACACATAGCAGTTATTTCGGCTCAACAAGAGAATCTTACGGCGTAAACGCAATCGGCTATGTCCAAATTAAAAGAGATGGAGAATTATGTACAGTAAAAAGTCGAGTTACTCCGGAGCATAAAGTACGTAAAGAAAGTTATCGTGTTACAGTTATTTTAAATGAAGCGCAAAGCTTGGTTCAGTCCTGCCAATGTGAAGATTGTGCCACACATTTTAAACTTTATCCAATTTTCGATGTCGTTCTCCAACTGTAAAATTAAAAATATATTATAGGCAGGTTTTGGAAGTATTAGGTAGGTTACTAACGCGTTTTTAAAGTGATCTTCACAGCATCGAATAATGGTCTTTGGTGAATAATTGTCATTTCTCTTAGCAGCTTGAAACCACTTTTTTCTCAATTATGGGTCAATTAAATTAATTCAATCAAAAGTCAGAAACATTTTATTTGGATACTTTGTTAAAGTAGATGGACACATTGGCACAAAACATGAGTCAACACGGTTTTTTTCGGAATATTAGTGGTATTGTTATGATCACCTGATGTTGATGGATAGTCCATTTTAAATTTTTACAAAAAAATATGCAAAAGTATGAAAATTGAAAGCCAGCGATGAACAAGTACAGACAGGAGTGACGACATCGGAACCATAGGTCCGTTTACGCGCGAAAATTTAAACTGTCAATTTAAAACCGCATTTTTTCCGATAAATTACAATGTTTTAATTTTTTAATATATCTGTGGTTTATTCTACATGGAATCCTTTAAAATGAAAACAAAAATAAAAATATTGCATCTTCCCTAACCGAAGGAACATAGTACATATAAGAGTCTTTGATTAAAATTGAAACTCCACATCTGCCACCGACAGAGATTTTGTTGATTATATAATAACTCGGAATAGACAACCTACGTTCGTACGTTCTGTTTACCAGGTTTCGTTCAATAAATAAATGTATATCCTTTTCCTGCAGGAATTGATGAGGAGTGTTTTTTTTGTTAATAGTACCTTCAACGTTATATTGAGATATTATAACGTGAATGTCGTAAAGTCGTTGATGACACAAAAAACACGCTATTCTTCTTAATCACTTTAATGTTTTATAATTCACAAACAAACAGCGTTTTCTTAACAAAATCAACATATTCTCTGACAGTCATTTTTAACAGCAAAATAAAATATTTTTCTAATATTAAGACATCTGTCTATCAAAAACGTTTTCATAGATAAGTTAAGTATATCGGCGCGGTACACGAATAGATCGGCCGGACCTCGACATTACGGAACGTGGTGCTTCATCCTCCCCCTCCAAGTCACCAACCCGCCCCGGGGGTGACTTGGACCTAAGCCGCGGCCTACCTTTCTTAGTCATAGTTGTTAAATCAGAATCACCTATATACGGTGTGAGGAGCTTTGTATGGTACTTCCCTTTTAAGTTACCCTCATTATCCTCCACTTCATAAGTAGAGGCAGACATAACCCTTTTTATTTTAAAAGGACCTATGCGACGTGGAAAGAACTTTTTAGTTAAACCTTTGGAAGCTTGGCTAAGTGCATTATTCGCGACAAGCACCAGATCGCCTTCACAATACAATGGTCAATCGCGACGACTCCGATCCGCTGCATCTTTCCTCAGATCTTGCTGGTGCTCTTGTCTCCAACGTATTTCTTGGAATGATTCCACAAAATCCCGTAAGTATGGGGTAATTTGGGGAACAAAGTTCTCCTTTTCTGTAACGGTACGGATGTCATTTATTATATTTATAGGGGAACGCAACTCACGGGCAAAAGCTAAATAGGCAGCAGTATGTCCTGTGGTCTGATTAGTTGCGGTATTAAGGGCAAATCGCACCGCTGGGATGTGCTTGACCCAATCCTGATGATCAGTATTAACTAAAATTGCCAGCATAGATTTCATATCCCGGTTCTTACGTTCAGCAGGGTTTGCTTGGGGATGATATACTGGTGACAAATTTTGAGTAATCCCTAAAGCGAGCATTACTTTCTGCATTACAGCTGAGACAAATTGGGACCCGTTATCCGATATCACCCGACGTGGCAAGCCGTACCGTAAAAAGACTTCATCGACTAGGGTCTTAGCACACTTTTCAGCAGTAGCATCTACGAGAGTAAACAGTTCTACCCATCTCGTGGCTACATGTTCGACCAGGAAGATCCATTTTTCGCCGTCACTGCCTTGAGGAAGAGGCCCAAAAAGGTCCATGGCCAAAACTTCGAATCTCTGATGCATAATTGGGGTTTGTAACAATCCAGCGGGTTTTAAATTACTAGATTTGAATGCTTGACACAGATCACAAGATTTCAAATATTGGGTGACATACTGACGCATTTGCGGGAAAAAATATCTTTCTTTAATTTTCTTGAGCGTTCTCTCTACACCAAGATGGCCGACAGTTGGGGCATCATGAAGTTCCTTGAGTAATTCTTCCTTCATGGAATCTGGGACGACTAACTGTGGCTCATCAGAGTCGCTATCTGGATCGGTTCGGTATAAAACTCCTTGAGATACGTAGTATCCACGATCAGTCCACCTGGTAAACTCATTATTACTCTCAAAATCTTTTAAAATCTTCGCTACGTCAGGATCTTCAAGTTGAGCAACCCGGATTTCCTCCGGCACCTTATGAGGTAAATCTATTGAGATTGGGCACGCTTTACATTCCACGTCCTTCTCGTTGAACGCTGGGAGAGGCAGACGGCTAAGTGTGTCGGCGACAACATTACATTTTCCCGGTGTGTATTCCCAATCGATATTGTAAGATTGTACCTTCATTACCCACCGTGCTAAACGACCGCTGGGTGTTTTGAGGGACATCAACCACCGCAAGGGTTGATGATCGGTAACAACCTTAATCGGGGAACCCTCCACATATCCCCTGAACTTGTCTAACGCCCAAATAACCGCTAATGCTTCGCGCTCGGTGGTGGAGTAATTTAGTTCCGCTGAAGTCAATAATCGACTGGCATACTCAATTGGCCGTTCATTATGAACATCAGATCCTTGCATCAAGACTGCGCCCAAAGCAAAGGCGCTGGCATCAGTACGTATGACGAATGGAACCGCGAAATGAGGCTGACGAAGGATTGGAGCAGAGGTGAGTTTCTCTTTCAGGGCAGCAAACGCTTCATTCTGAGGTCCACTCCAACTCCAGGGGACGTTCTTTCGCGTAAGCATGGTAAGAGGCCGTGCTACATCGGCAAACCTAGGGATAAATTTCCTAAACCAGGAACAGGTTTGTAAAAACGATTTTATTTCTTTTAGGTTGTGTGGTGGCGCCATCTGCCGTATAACCTTTACTTTGTCGGGATCAGCCTGGATACCCTGTGGAGATATAACATGACCTAAATAGGTTATTTTATCTCGAGCAAATTGACATTTATCTCGGTTCGCCCTAAGACCAAAAAGACGTAATCTCTCAAAGACTTTTCGTAGGTCCTGCACGTGGGATTCGAGGCAGTCAGACACAACCAAAATGTCATCTAAATATGCCACGCAGCACACGTCCGACATTACGGAACGTGGTGCTTCAATATTCGTATGTGAATTCATATCCATCATTGATCGTATTTCTTGGATAACATTAGTGGTTAAAGCTCTCTCATCATTTCCTATGGTATCCAAAGCGCCAACAATAGCCTTACGAATTAAATCATTGTCAATTATTTCACATTTGTTTTTTGATAATTTTGTAACTATCTTTTTCCATCGCACCGCGCTGTTAGAAGTCAAAACGGTGGAGGGGACAGAATTGGAGTTCTGTGTTTTTTTCAATGGATTTTTTTTTGAAAACGGTAATTTAGGAATGTTATTTTGATAATCAGTTGTTAAATTACTATCATTCTTATTTTTATTACTTAATACAGCATTTGCATAAGATACTTTGTTCTTCATTTCTTCCATTCTTTGTTTTTTTGATTGGGCAGTCTATTGATATTGGAAGGTGTGGACTTGACAGTTCACACATACTAATCAGTATATTGTCTCAACATTGTGAGAAATGATGCTCATCGGAGAATATGGAGCATAATTGAATAGATTTGCATGTGATTAAATTTGAAGCATTTATAACATTGCGGTACAGGTGAATTGTACTCGTGTACAGTGTACAGTTTTAAAAACTGTGACAGTACCATTTTCTTTTGTAGAGAATCTGCGCACTGCAATAGGGTGATGACTAATTTTTTTTCTTCGTTTATCAGGTAGATTATCAAAAAGTGTTGGACATGTTTTTTTCTTTTTTCACATAATATAAACATTGCAGAGATATTCATTGAGAGGTATTCATTTGAAAAGTCGCATAACGTCACCTTTTTTAGTACACTTTTAAGTGAAAATTTGAAGGAATTATTAATACAATTTACAAAGATATATACAGAAGATTTACTAAAAATAAATATATAACTTTTTGAAAAGAAAATAAAAAATTGCGCCTAGTGCGTTCAAAAGCCCGCCAAAATGTCGACGAAAATCATCTTGGTTGTGTACTGCCAGGACATAAATACTGAAACCCACAACAGTTGTTTAGGTTTAGATTTTGTTCAGAATATTGTAAATCATTTGTAACAATTTCGTTACCTGTTTTGTTGTTTCTCTTTGTTTGTTGGTGTCGGTCATCCTGGTTTATATATATTAATTGTCCTTGATTCTATGGTTTTGTTTAAAAAGTTATATTTCTATTTTGCTTTTTAGCTGCCTTTTTATTTAAAGAAATGCACTTTAAAAAAAAACAGCACATTAATTAAATATTTGGAAAAACAAAAATACTCATAAAAAATGCTTCAAAATAAATAAACTAAAGACCAGGCTGTATGGGCATTGTTCCCGTTGCCGTCCCAGAAAATAGAGAAAAAAAAGAAACTGGAGGTTTTTGGCGGGATTTCATCGAGTGTGGTTGGCGTCTTATTTTAATTAATCTTAAATTCGTGCATAGTGGATATTGTGAAATAAAATTGGTGTGATTTTGTGTTACAACTGTCTGCGTAACTGAAGAATTAGTAGAATCGTCAAAATATACGCTATTCCGGTCAAGTGAACGTGAGAATTTTATTGTAGTATTGACTACCTCACAGAAGCTTATCGAAAAAGCCAGCTCGATACATTTCGTGCCAAACACTTCAAGAAACATTAGAATGCGTTACACCGACATTCTTATGTAAAAAGAAAAACAGAATAATTTAACTTAAGACTAGGCTGTTTATGCATTGTTCCCCTTGCCTTCCCTTAAAAGGGAGAACTTAACCAAAAAAAAAAGAAACTGTCTTCGAATTTCTTAAATTTGTTTATTTTAAATTTATAAAATTGGCAGAATTAATAGGTAGGGCAGAACGGGCAGATCCCTATATTAGGTACATCTCCCTGTAGCCTGTAGTGTTAAACTTTTCATTCAATAATCCAATCCAACTAACCAACCTATCTTATCGCTACTTTTTCAAAGACCTAGAGTCAGTCAGTGTTTGCAACTTTGTGTCGCATATTTAATAATCTTTGCTACAAATGTAGATTAGATATTATATTGTTTTGGAAGCCGTTCTTGCTAGATTGCATTTGGGCAGAAAGAAAATCTATGTTACATGTTTTATATTTGGTAGGATGGCCAATGGCGAGTATAGACATGTGTGGCGTATTGTACTCAGAAACTTTTTCAATTCATTAAAACCAAGGCAAATTAAAGGAAATAATATGGGTATGTAGATTTAAAAAGCAACTCTTATTACTATTAAATACCTAATTTAAGAATCTGGCCTCCACTTATTTGTTACAACCTTATAAAGAGTATTTTACTCAATATTTGATGTCTTAAATTTGTTTATGGTTCCAGGTAAAGATTATATAGGAAACATTTATTATGAGATACCTGCAGACCCACAGAGGGGGAAAAGGAAAGCAACACGCTGGTATGACCCTCCCAAAGGGCTAGATTTTCAGGAACCTTTACCATCTGAATGGGAGTCTTGGCTACGTATGAGAAGGTGAATAATATCATTTTGACTGTCTGATACCATGATTTTTATAAACATAAGTATAAGATTGAAGAACATGATTATGTTATTCATTGGTTGTTAATTTTATTTATTTATAGAACAGAACCTCCCACTGCTGAAGAAATAGCTAAAAATGTTGCTATTGCTGAACAGAAGAAGATTAATGCAGCTAAGATTGAAGAAAAACGATTAGCAGAAGGGGGCGCACTGCCTACACCTGTGGAACGTGGAGCTCAATCTTTTCCTACATATCCAGAGTATCATACTGGAGATCCTTCTATTAATCCAAAAAATAAATATAGATAAATTAAACAGAATCATCTATTGTAAATATTGATATTAGTATTTAGATTCTATCATAGTAGTCTCCATTACATCTTTTTATCATATTCAGTAATTACTATTTTGAATATTTTTCTAAATAATTATTCTTCATTTGGTATATTGTTTCTATATTATGTCTGGTGACCTGAGGCCCAAACAAGAATCTTGACAGTTTCATAATATTATCGCATCCTTAAAGTTTCTATGAAAACTTAGCAGTGATCCTACTGGATGTAAGAACAAACTGGCTCCTATACAAAATTTGACAATGAAAATACAAATGTGGAGTTGTCAAAATTCATGCTTGGGCCTCTGGATATTGTTTTGCCATATCTTCACTACCATTTCCCTGCCATACGGTTAAGTAGCAAAATGCTCAGCTAGTTCCAGTTTCATGTTTATTGTTATCAAATTTAGACAAAAAATAGGAAGTGTAGACTTCTTTTAGTAGTAGTAATTTATGTTATTAGCAGGATTATTGCTTTGTTTTTTGCAAGCCCCTGAAATTATATAGTGTAAATTACAATAATGTTCGGGGCGATGGAAGTTTAAAACACTGTTAATTTTTTTGTGATATTAAAATGTGTTTTACATATTTTCATATAGTTTCATTATAGTTTCAACATTTATAATAGGCACTTATTCAGAAGTACCTAATCTGAAGTAAGCTTTAATCTATTTCATATGTAGTGGAGTGCCTGGGGGTTTATACCTCGGATTTTTGCAACAGTGAATAAAAGTAAAAAATTCTAAATGGCATGTTCAGCTAATAATACATATAAAAAAGTTTACATTATAGCTATTAACGGGATTGTTACCATGTACCTTGTTTTTTATGAGTCTCCGATATTTCGGCACTGTTGCAAGCGCCATGATCACGGAGTAACTGAAGTAATTGCGGGTAGATGTTATTGGCAGACATATCGGTCTACACCCTCACCTACCGCCTGGTGCAGGTACTGACCGGACATGGGTGCTTCGGTCACTACCTGCACCGAGTCGCCCGTCGGGAGGAGACGCTGCGGTGTCATCACTGCGCCTCTCCCGACGACACGGCCGAGCACACGTTGATCGTGTGCCCGGCCTGGCAAAATGAGCGCCGCGATCTGATCGCGACGCTCGGCGGAGGAGGCCTCACGCTGCCAAGTATGGTAAGAGCCATGCTTGGTAGCGAGAGAGCCTGGAGGGCTGCCGCCTCCTTCTGCGAATCTGTGATGGCGCAGAAGGAGGCAGCGGAGAGGGAGCGGGAGGAGGACGCTCTAGCCGCCCCTCTCCGGCGTAGACGGGTGGGCCGAAGAAGGCAGGCAGCTGTGACTGCCGGTCTTCGACGGCCCTAAGGTGGCCTGGGCGCGGCCTGACCAGCCGCGCGCCCTAGGTGCCGCTCCGGCATAGGCCACCACGTCTGGGGACTGCCTAGTACCCTAGCGCAGTCCCCCTGAGGCGCGTCGCCCGGTCCACTCGTTGGGCCGGGCCTGCCCGGGGGCGGGCTCGGAGTTGTGGCGCACGCAGGTGCGTCGGCCCCGAGACGCCCCCACATGGGCGTAGGAGGGTACCGGGGGGTTTTAGTGGAGTAGGATCAGTGTAGCCTTCCGCACTGGTCCTGCTTGAGTAGGGTCGGCACTGTTTCCCGTGCCGGCGAGTCCCACACACGCCGTGCGCCTAGTCAGCGTCACGGTATGGTGCGTAACTGCATTTCCCCTCGTCACAAAAAAAAAAAAAAAAAAAAAAAGGACCCGCCGTACATACTCCAACTCTTCGTGCAGGTGTTCCTTGTCACACAAGTCATATGCACGGTTTGTCAGTGAAGTCACTACAGAATTTAGATGTCTGGGGCGGTGATGCGAAGAGGCGTTGAGATAACGGTCTGTGTGTGTGAGTTTGCGGTGAATGGAATGACTCAGCGAACCATCGTATGGACTCCATTTAAATTTGCCAAATGAGCCTCGACATCTTCTTTGTTTCCTCTCAATATACAAAATACGTCATCAACATACCTCTTCCATAGTGCAATTTCTGTGGGGGCGGTGGCGAAAGCTTTTTCCTCAAAATACTCCATCCATATATTGGCAACCACTGGAGCTACCGGACTGCCCATTGCGACCCCATCTATTTGGAGGTAGTACTGACCCCGGTATATAAAGAAGTTCGTCGTCAAACAATGATGCAAAAACTTGGCATATTCCGTCGGGATGTTATTGTCTTGCAATTTCACCATAACTACTTCCAAACAGTCCACCGCAGGTACATTTGTGAAAAGTGATTCCACGTCATCACAAAAAAGTTTACATATTAAAAAATTGTGATCTTGTTTTTTGTTTTAATGAGTGTGCCTTGCGGCTGTGTCATATGATTAGTACTTACTTGATGTATAATTTTCGTTACTTTACATTCACTAACTGCTTTTAATATAATATGAAACTCCTCTTCTTTTTAGGGTTCCGAAGAAGAAGACTCCACTAATGTCCGTCTGTCAGTCACCAGGCTGTAAATAAATTAGGAAAGATCCTACGATAAAATCAATCAAGGCCGTTTATTTACATTCCCAACTAGCAACATCGCAATTAAATAATAAATTATAGATTAAAATAGAGTCACAGCTGGTAGCAAAAAAAAAAAATTGGAGGGCAGAACTTACGTTCTACAACTCTATAGTAATTAATATAAGAGTAAAAATTGAACGAAAATATTTTGTATATTTCCGTCAGACGTTTGATTGTCGACGGTTTATTGTAAAAATTTATTCCTATTTCTCCGCTTGGTAAATTATTTGGTTAAAAACATTCACCTAATTATTACATGATCAATTCAATAATAAATAAATTAATAACTAAAGGTCAATTCAAGTAAAAAAATGGATAAATCGCAATCATATTATTATTTGATTGTGATATTGCTAGTTGGGAATGTAAATTAAACTGCCTTGTTTGACTTTATTCTATTTCGTAATTACAACTTTAAATAAACAGCCTGGTGACTGGTGACATACAGAGAGATGGACATTAGTGGAGTCTATTTCTTCGGAACCTTAAAAAGAAGAGGAGTTTTACTTTGGTCGAAGGGAGTTTCTTAAATTAAAAGCGCCTAGTGAAATTAAAGTAACGAAAATTATACACCAAGTAAGTACAAATCATATGACACTACCTCAAGGCACACTCATTAAAAGAAAACAAGGTCACAATTTTTTAGTAAACTTTTTTATATGTATTATTAGCTAAACATTCCATTTGGATTTTTTAAATTTCATTCACTGTAACTAAAATCCGAGGTTTTCATGCATTTAACGCCCCGGGCGCTGCACTAATGGCCCTAATTCGGGATGATTCATTCAATGAAAATAGACCATGATAAAGATATTTGTTAGGTAACAAGAAACTCAGGGTTTGTATTGTTCTGGCTGCTGTACCACCAATAATTTGATGATGATGACGGGTGTCTATTTCCGCGCTGATGGTGAGTTTGAGAGACGTGGAGAACTATGCTCCCCCTGGCTCCTAAGTTTGTTTTAATGTGGTATTTTATGAAGTGTCAAAGGACCATCACAGTGTGATGTAAGACTTCTGCATTGCACCAATGGACAAATGAACGAAGGATTTCGCTACTATGATTTCACTGGTTCATGTGATGAGTGGTGGCCCTGATACTCCAGGATACTACACCAAATTAAGTACCAATAGGGGATCCTGTATGAAATGTTTCATTGCTTCTACAAATGTTGCACTGACGTCATAACCAGAGGCTCTGATTTCAGTTCGACTCTTTTGTTTTTGTGGAGAAGATACGTAAATATCGAAACAAGATCAATTGTTATTAATAATTTATTATGACGTAAATTGCAGATATATTGTGCTTAAATGAGAATATATAATAAATATCGACACTACCATCCATCTGCCTTCTAATGAAATACAGTGGAACTGAGCGGAGCTTTTAGTTTAACTACTCGCTAGCCGCTTACTACGTAACTAGTAGACTACGACAACTGCGACTGCCGCTGCTAGTTACGTAGTAAGTAACTATTATTTAATCTGTGCTACTTATGTTGATAATAGCGCTGTACTGTTGACGTCCCGTAATATGGCCGTAAGGCTCCCCGCCACCCCTCTTTAAGGGTCACTTGTGCAGTCCATAGTTACTCATAACCTGAGTTTAGTCTCCTATGAACGCCGTAGGCCGCGTAGTCATAAGTGGCTCGGGGCGGATTTTAAAAATACCTAGTCAGATCATAATTTCTGTCACATGTTTAATATAAAATAATTGAAACAAGTTTATTCATTATGGTAACCATTTATGTACCAAAATGACCTTAACAAAACATAGATTCTTATGACAATAAAGTTTATTCAAAATGACCTCCGTGATTTTGAATACAGGCCTTCAATCTGCGCCGCCAGTCGTCTATCGCAGCATGATCGAGTTCCATGTCAATATCGGCGGATGCCTTTATCAAGGATGTCTTTAGTGACTCCAAATTGGGATGAGGCTTTGAGCACGCCTTTTCCTCCAAGTGTTGCCATATCTTGTAATCTAACGGAATCAAATCTGGACTGGAGGAGGGCCAGTCTTCGTGCCGGATGTAGTCGATTTCACGCGCCGAAAGCCAGTCTTGTGTGCGCTTCGCTCTATAAGCTGGCGCCGAATCTTGTTGGAATACCCAGTGCCTGTTATTGAACATGGTATGAGAAACAGGTTCCACAAGGTTCGTCAGGACTGTATTTTGATACACAACTGCATTCGTTTTTACACCTTTCTCACAAAAATGTACCTCTGTTAAGCCCCAATAAGAAACTCCCAACCATAGCATGAGCGAGGATGGAAAATGACCTCGTTGGACACGCGGAATGCGGTTGCTCGCTTCGTCACTGTGTGCGTACACCTTATCATTTTGTTTCTTGTAGCTCTCTTCTACGGTAAAAAATTTTTCATCCGAAAAAAGAACTTCCCGATATTTTTTTCCCGCGTACCGCTTCAACAAAGCGCGGCAT